AGCCTAAGCCAGTTTTCAGTGATATTGCAGACAAGAAAACACTGGTTGGGATTGTGGAGGGCAAAAAAAAATACAGATTTTTGCTTTGGGTTTCAGTGGGGAAATCATTCCTTTTAACTTCTCGTTGTGTTTCACTCCCCGCCCCCTCCAGAGGCTTTATTTCTTTCAGAGACTATAGGCTGCCCCATGAATTTTAATCCTTCCCCTTTCAGTCCTGAGCTTTCATACCCACACCGGCATTCATGCCAAATACCTGTTTAGCCCAGGAAGTATGCCCTAGTTAAACTTTGTATAACCATCACATCATTCATACTGTGCATGCAATGCATTATTCCCTGGGAATCTGTGAAACTTAACTAATACTGAAGAGCGTCAACGAATGGAAAGGCTTCATGAGAGAGTCTCTTATGAGTCAACTCAGTTCCAGGTGGTTCAGTCTGCAATCCTTTACCTAAGAATGAACCCTACTGAACTCACTGGGACTTACTTCAGAGTAGACTCATTTAAGAGTGCAGTTTCAGTCTCTGATGCATGGACACATACAGATTTGAGACAGTGAAGACACAAGAAAGAAATCCTGCAGAGTGTTCTTATATTTGGTAATGGGATTGCAAGCTTGGGTCAATTGCTATTGATGTAGTCTAAAGTTAATGAGGCCTCTGGTACATAGAGGTTAGGTGAGCTTTCTGCCTTCTAGTTTTTAACAAGGCTGTCTTGTTGTAACATCATGCATTGACTGTTAGAGCATTTGTCTAAAGTTAAGGAGGAATGACAGCAGCATGTACACTTCAAAACAGAAAAAAAATCTTGCAGTTGGACCAGAATATTTTGCTCAGTTTTTTCAGTAATAAAATAGCATTTGCTGCACCCAAATACAGTACCCGTTGAGAAAAACCCAGTGCCAGTTTAATGTTTCCCAATGCAACCCTTCCTCCAGATGGTACTGTACTTGATTTTGGAGATGAAAATATATCACAGCGCTAGAACCTGCTGCAGCAAGATCCGAAGGGACAGTTTTAATACAAAATTCACTTCGGTACAGGATGAGAATAATGCACAAAAATGAATGAGAGCCGAATGGCTATTTCATTTCCCTTTAAATGAAACTTCTCATTTAAAGATGGCTGTGATTTCAGGCACAGGGAGAGTGATGTTTCAGCACTTCCATTATAAACCTGTAAATGGTTTTCATTCTAGCTGGTCTCTGCTGGCCTACATAGATGGAAAAACACAAGTATCGCATGACTACAGACTGTTCTGTCTTGAATCTTGTGTTAACTGAAGGTTAAAGTTAGCTATCTTCCCCCAGATTACTCTTCTGTCCTTCTGCCTGTCACTAAATACAGAAGGCTCATTATCCAAGCGTTAAATATTTTATTATTTAGAAAGCAAAACACACAAGGATCCTCCCCACCCCCCGCCCATGACTACCACAAGTATTCTGGGATGAATAAGATAAAAGGACCTGTTAAAGGTGACAATCCTGTGCATACTTACGCAACTGAACACAACAAGACATTGTTCAAAGTAGGCATCCTTAGGATTGTACCATTAATAAACTTAATGCCATTAATCTGCTACTCTTTAAGGGCTGCATGTTTGGGAAATGTCTTAGCTTCTGCATGCAGAGAAAATTGATTACTCCCAATCAATCAGTCCTTGGTAAGATTCCCTTTTCCTTCCAGGAAGCATTTCTTTATTTTCTGACTATAGATCACTATTGCAGCTTGTTTTGAGAAATCTACCAGATATGGCACTGGATGGGAGACAGACATAGGGTTTGCTCAACTTGGCCTGCTCTACTGTTTCTTTAAAAAAGTAAACTCCTTTAATCATACACAGATTCCTCATCAAGCAGTCTATGTATTGCTGAGCCATGAGAGCAACTGATGATCTCTTAAAGATCATTGTGTTCATGGCTTATATTGCCAGCTCTACCTGTGTCCTTAGAAAGCCAGCACCAGTCTAGATTAGACAAATACTAGGCAAAATGAACTGATGATCTGACTTAGAATAAGGTAGAGACGAATTTTCGGAGCGCAAGCTAAAATGATAGGCCATTTGTTTTGTCTATGTTTATTGAATTGTCTTTTGGATATGTTGTGAGTTGTCTTGAATATAAATGAATTAAAGCTTTCAGTGAAGATTAATTACAATAAGTAAATACAATAAATATGCATAGGAGTGCAGCAAAAAACAGAGAAAGGAATAGAAATATTTTAAAGAAATAAATTAAAATTCCTTCACCTGTGAATGATCACAGAGTTTTCCTGCATTCCTGGCTAAGGAAAGGGCCTTCAGACCTGAGTCTTTGTATCTTTATACATGCACGTACGCATGCACGCACGCGCACACACACACACTTTATTTCTAGCAAATCTTAATCAGATCCAAGAAACAACCAGTTCTCCAGGTCAGATTTCAGCCCTGAAGTCACAAATCTCCACTCATTCACCTGAGAGTTGGGCAGCATTTGCAGCTTGGCAGAACCCTGCTGCCACCTTCTGGCTTCCATGTGCCAGGCTCCCACAGCCAACGGGAGATGTTGCTGCCTCTCCCATCAGCTGAGGAAATTAAAACTGGCCTGCCTGCCAACTGGCCAATCACAGGTGGGCCTGTAGGTGGTGCTGGGGTGGGTGGGTGGGCAGAGCTGACTGGGACACCAGAGGAAGTCTTTACTCAGGTCCGCTCCCTGGCCATTTAAAGTGGTCCACCTCCTTGCCTGGCACCGCAGTTGCCTTTTAGATCAGTGTTTCCCAACCACTGTTCCGCGGCACACTAGTGTGCCGCGAGATGTTGCCTGGTGTGCCGCGGGAAAAATTAAAAAATTGAAAGATTATTTTTTTTAAGTCAAATTTTCGATTGCGGCGCCGTCACTAGATGACCCCTGGGGTTCCCTCCCTCCCTCCCGCTCTGCGCCTCCCTCCTCCTCCTCCTCCTCCTCCTCCGGGGAGGCCCTTCCTGGCTCTCGGCCAAGGCTTGGCGGCTGCCACTCACTCACTTGCTCGCCCACCCGTCCCTCCATCCCTGCACCCGGCCTCTCCCCCTCCGTCCCCGGCGCGGGGGCTGCCGGGATCCGTAGTCCCCTCGCCCTTGGGCTCCGCGCCCGCGCGGGGTGCGCGAACTACGTTTCCCAGCGTGGCCTGGCGGGCCGGTCGTTTTGTTTGAAGCGCTCTTCTCCCGGCCATGGAATGAGCGCAGCGGCGGCGGCCGGGCGGGCAGGGGCTCTTCCGCGCAGACCCCGCGCAGCCTGCCTGCGCCCCCGGAGATCGGGCGGCAGGATGGAGCCCGGGGATCCCCGCGGAGGCGGAGCGGCGGAGGCGGAGGCTGCCCCCCAGGTAGGGCTGCGTCGGGGTTTTTTTATTTTTGCAATGCTGCATCAGCGCCGGAGGGGACGCATCGGACCGCGGGGAGACCCCTTGGCGGGCGTGCAAGGCAATGCATGCGTGCAGGCGTTGCATGGAGTGCAGTGCAATGCAATGGCAATGCGGCGCCCTGCATGCATGCATGCAACTTCCACCGGCGCTCCGGACTTGGCAGGTGAGGGGGGTCCCCAGTGGGCAGCAGAGAGAGCCGGGAGGGCGAAGGGGAGCCGGGGGGGAGCAGCGCTGCTCCCCGAGCTGAGCCCGGGGGAAACTTCGGCGTCGTTGCGCCGGGTGTTGGAAGCGGAGGCTGGCAGGGGCCCCTCACCTGTAAAACCTGGTCGCCTCTCATATATTTCGTGCATTGCATTCATCGCCCACTTTCTCCTCCAAGGAGCTCCCGGGGGCGCGCGTGGTTCTCCCCGTGTTATCCTCGCAACAACAGCCCTGCGAGGTGGGTCAGGCGAGTGGCCCAAGGGAGCACCCAGGGATTGTCCTGGCCAGGTGGGGTGATTTGAACCCTGCTCTCTGCCCGGTCTTCGTCCTCATTTAGCCCCCACATGTGCATGACTGTGCATGACTGAGGTTTTCCCCCCTCGTCTTGGCTATGGTGTGAGTCTGTGCTGTTAATTAATGGGGTTCTGCCTTCGGAGAAGATGAGCCAGCCCTCAAGGAGGTGATTATGTAATTTGCTAGCAATTCATGTCCCTCCCGGCGTGACGCTGCGCGCTGATGTCACGGGGCTGTAATGGTGGTGTGCCTCGAGATTTTTTTCATGAAACAAGTGTGCCTTTGCCCAAAAAAGGTTGGGAAACACTGTTTTAGATTTCCCTCCCTCCTTCCCTTATCCCTTGGCTTCTTTCTTTGTACTGGTATTTGCTTGACCTTGCTATGGATTGCTTTAGTCTCTGTATTTGGGGCCAGGGAGGAATTTCACCCTCAGGCTAATTGGGCCTGTCTGGTTTGTTTGCCTTCCTCATAGCAATCATCACAACTTTGGTGATTATGGCATTGGGTTTGATCCTTAGTCTTTGCCCAAGGGGAAGACCCTTCCGTGGCAGTGAGGTATTCTATTAAATGAATCCAGGGGGAGGAGCTTCTGTCCATACACCCAGGTGGCAGTTAAGGGCCATAGCACTCCCTATCATGGCAAAACTGTCAAATGGTATCCATTTGATGTATGTCATAGATCATCCTTTAGCAGGCTTGAACCACTAACTGACCAGCAGGCAGGCTGGACAATAGCAGAGATGCTCAATACCATGCCAGACTTGCATCCGTACTCAATAAAGTTGTGGTCGAATTTGAACCCATGATGCTTCTCTGAGTCCTTGCTTTAATTGTTGCAGTGGATAAGAGGGTGGTGAGCTGCATTAGCTGGGCACGCAACAAACCAATTCCGAACATGTGTGGTATTAATTTTCCATAACCCTGTACAACTACAACTTATCTCTCAAATACCACATTGCAGGCAGCTTTTAGCTGTGCAGAACAGAGTGACAAGAAACACATTTGAAAAATAAATGCATGCATAGTTCAGCTTTCCTTGGAAACAGCTGCCATGTGGAAGTGTTATATATCGCTCTGCTTTGGATATGAGATAGATAGATAGTAATTTTGTTGTTGTTACAGGCTAGATTGCTTTGTTTTTCTTTTGGGGAGTGCAACTTTCAGCTTGCTCGCCAAGATGATGGACATGTCGGAATTCGGGGAAGCTGCTCCCTTCCTCCGGAAAAGTGACAAGGAGCTGATGGTGTTGCAGACTGTAGCTTTTGAAGGTAAGGTGTTAGTTGTTGATTCTGCCATCAACCAGGAAGGCTGAATGATGCATACTTCTATAGCTTATTAGAAGTTCTATCGTAAAGGGCCAATGTCTTTGCAGCAGTCTGTTTAGACTGGCTGCCCCTTATACTTCTGCACTTTTAAAAATGTGCATTTATTCTGCTGGTCTGACCAGCTGCATGTTCCATATGTAGCTTAATATGTAGCTTAAATTGCACTGCAATTTGAATATATAATAAGTAGCCTTTCCATTTTACTTGACAAGACCCTCTTTTCCCCATTGATGTTGTGATTATTCTGATGTCAAGATCTTGCAAGAAGGGTTGCAGAACTTTGATGTTCACCATCTCAAAGTATAAAGTAACGTTGTCTGGAAATAGCACAGCAGCTCTTAGCCAGCTCGGAGAACATGTATTGTTCTTAATGGTATTTTAAGAAGGTAAGTATGTCTATTGCATGTGGGTGACATATGGCCTGCCTGGTTTCAGTGTGTGCTTTTAGACATCAAAGCAAAGAACACACAGTTTCCAGGCATTGTTCTATAAGCATCAACTAGCTGGAACCAGAAAAAACTTAAAAGCAACAGAGTTCAGAGCGTGATGCCACACCTTTAGGGTGATAAGAAATGGCTGAGGTCATTTGCAGCTCTTATGACTTGCACTGTATACTGTAAGATCAACAGTATAAGTGCATCCATGAAGTATACTCTACCCTGTGGTAGAGATTTGGCACTGTTACATTGTGATGATGTGCAAATGTGTCAATTATTGCATCCCTGATTCTTGAATTTTCAGCTTGAGTTTGTTGGCTTCTTTGATTTGAGCAATTCATAAAAGCGAATGCTCCAAAAGCGTTTCAAGTAAAAAGTAAGCTAGTGTAAGAGGGTGGAGCAATGGGGAGTGGAACATACTTGTAAATTACTCAAATTCCAAACAATCAAATTGTAACCTGTGAATTGCACACTTCCTTGCATTTAGCTGAGGTTAACCAAAAGCACATTTGGGTTGGGGTTTTTTTTTTGTTTTTTTTTGAGGTGCAGAAATGGTGCCAGAACATTTGCTGCATGCAGTAGGCACAGGTTATTCATCTTCTGTCTGGGAGGACCAATGCAAGTGGAATATAGTATTCAGGAAAATGAACTATGAGCTGGAACATCTCTAGTTAAAATCTCACTTGAGCTGCTAACACAAATGATGGTCTTGTGCAGCCATAGGCAAACTCGGTCCTCCAGATGTTTTGGGACTACAATTCCCATCATCCCTGACCACTGGTCCTATTAGCTAGGGATCATGGGAGTTGTAGTCCGAAAACATCTGGAGGGCTGAGTTTCCCTATGCCTGGTCTTGTTCAAGGCCACTGCCCGCTTCAACACCTTCCCAATCTGAAGGAGGGTCAAAGCGCCATCTTACCTTTCAGGGCTGTTGTAAGGATTACTTGAGTTTGTGAATGTGCTCTGAACACATACAAAAACAACACAATTCTATTCTATTAATTAATATTCTATTATATACAATTCGTAATTTATTTTGCAATGTTGAGTATCAAATATTTTTGCATAACAACGAAGCACTCATTTTTCTATGCTAGGGAAGAAGAAATGCTGGATTCCAGATGAGAAGAAAGCTTATCTTGAAGCTGAGATAAAAGAGACTGGCGGTGGCAAAGTCACTGTTGAGACTGTGGACGGGAAGGTAAAGAGTCCCCCTCCCTGTTTCATTAGTCACAAGAATAAAGCATTCTAGACATAATGAGGACAGAGAAACAGTTTTTGCTGCGTACAAACTTAGGCCAGAATCAGTTAAACAGAAAGAAGCAACAATCCGAGGAAGGGACGGAGGATCACACAAGAGAGAACCATATAGAGGGCTGGAGATTTCCTTGCTGCTTCGCTATGTACGATCTCACTGTGCTTCTAAAACCAAGGGCCAAAATGCGTGTTAAGCTCAACGCGTATATATACAGCTACACCTCCAGATTTTGTTTAATTAATTTTTGCTGTGTGAGGAGGAGCCTGATAGTTATCCAGACCAAAGCACAAGGGAAAGGGAGGCTTATCTCTCTTCCCCCAGCCATGCTCACGATGAAAATCCCCCCCCCCTCCTCCCCTCCTCCCAGTATAGCTAGGAAGCTTAGGCAAAAAAGTTCACAATGGGATATTTTTCTCTGAGTCTCCTAGCTCTTTGTGTGTATGTTATCTTCATATATCCAGGAGCCTATAAGCAATTGCCTATGGGTGCACATGAGCTTATGAGACTTGCAGTCTTTTGGGGGGGGACCCTACAGATATGCCGTTTATTGGTACCTGCATGTGGGGAGCGGATGAGGAGCCCCCTGCATTTATGTGAAAGCATTTTTGTTTAAGCTTCTACCCATGGCAGTTGGGGTGACTGAGAAGATGTGGCACATATAGAATCATAGAATCATAGAGTTGGAAGAGACCACAAGGGCCATCGAGTCCAACCCCCTGCCAAGCAGGAAACACCATCAGAGCACTCCTGACATATGGTTGTCAAGCCTCTGCTTAAAGACCTCCAAAGAAGGAGACTCCACCACACTCCTTGGCAGCAAATTCCACTGTCGAACAGCTCTTACTGTCAGGAAGTTCTTCCTAATGTTTAGGTGGAATCTTCTTTCTTGTAGTTTGGATCCATTGCTCCGTGTCCGCTTCTCTGGAGCAGCAGAAAACAACCTTTCTCCCTCCTCTATGTGACATCCTTTTATATATTTGAACATGGCTATCATATCACCCCTTAACCTCCTCTTCTCCAGGCTAAACATGCCCAGCTCCCTTAGCCGTTCCTCATAAGGCATCGTTTCCAGGCCTTTGACTATGGAAGCCATAAACATCTCTCTGTGATTCCTACAGAATAAATGAACAAGGCCTTAGTATATTTAATTTGTTTTTATATTGTATGCATCGACCCAAAGGATTAAGCAAGTCTTTTAAAATCGCTGTTGACACAAACAAATGAATAAAACCTGAGAGAGGTTTAGTCATGAGTTTGCAAAATTAATAATAATAATAATAATAATAATAATTTATTTACACCTTAGTCACTCTGGGTGGCTCCCAACAGAATATTAAAAACACAATAAAACATCAAACATTAAAATTTCCCAATACAGGGTTGCCTGCAGATGTCTTCTAAAAGTCAGATAGTTGTTTATTTCCTCGACATCTGAAGGGAAGGCATTCCACAGGGTGGGTGCCACTACCAAGGAGACCCTCTGCCTGGTTCCCTGTAACCTCACTTCTCGCAGGGAGGGAACCGCCAGAATGCCCTCAGAGCTGGACCTCAGTGTCCAGGTATACATGAAGCAGATGCACTGAATTAAGGTTCACCAAACGCTTCATTGCTATGACCTGTAGACTGAATTGGGACATAGGTTTTTTATTTATTAAATTTCTACCCCACACCATGGTCCCGCTCACACATGACACTAAGCCAAACCATGGCTTAGCATGAGTGAGCAAGCATGTGGGTTTCTGGGCTACTCCTTTGATCATGACCTTCTCTCCAGGATCATGACCTTTGCTGCTCCTGCACATCTGGTCATGGCTTGTACTTAGCCATGGATTGACTTAGCATTAAGGTCCATGTGAGTTTATTGACTTACCAATGCTAGGATGTCTCTGATATCAACAACTGTCCTTTGTGAGTAATGAAAATTGTTAATTTAATTGTCGTGGTCTGTACTTTCTGCATTTAATTTTTTTTTCTGACCTCACTGTTTACAATCACCGCTATCCCACTGCCACTTGTATATCTACCTACAACCCAGCATAACACTTAATGTACTTGATTAAATGGACCCACAACACTCTTTTGTCATAATAAATGTGTTAGCCTTTATGATGCCACAAGGGTCTTCATTGTTTTTGTTGCCATGGTCTAATATTGCTACCCCTCTGCAAGTAATTTATCTACAAATTATAATGCTTAGTAACTGTTATGTCTTCATTGGTTCCTGTTTTGTTTTAAAATCACAACAGCTTCAGGTTAATGCTTTGCTACATCCATCATAGGCAAATTGGGATAGCATTTAGCTTATAACCAGTTTCCAGTGTTTGACCACTTTCTCCATCTTGGTTTTTTAAATTCAGATGGCCATCATCATTATTGCTTTCTTAAAATCATGTATTCTACTGCTTACAACAGTGGGTGGCAATATCAAACAAACTGAAATGGATAAGAGATGCATTTTCTTTTCTTCTTTTCGATCAGTCTCCCAAGAGGCCAGATATTTAGGGTTGCACAGAAGCCTTCAAAGTTGAGTTTCCATTTGTGGGCAGCCTGTCCTTGAAAGTAATCCTTAAACAATTTTTTAATTTAAAAAAAGTGTTGTCAGATCACTCTGTAGTACAGGAAGTTTGGAAAGGCCGTGGCTACAGTGTTCCCTTTTCTTGCAGACAGTCACTTTGAAGGAAGATGATGTTCAACAGATGAACCCTCCCAAGTTTGACATGATTGAAGATATGGCTATGCTGACCCACCTCAACGAGGCATCTGTGCTGCAAAATTTGAACAGACGCTACAGTAACTGGATGATCTATGTATGAGTCATTCATTGATTTTCATTCAAAACTGCATGTTGAATTGCATCTCCATTGTGCAGGATAAGAATCAATACTGCCAGATGGACATTCTGACCTTTGACCCCTTTGTGGTTCCTGTTCCTGGCTTATTATGCATGAGGGACTCTCCTCTGTATACTCTCTGCTCCTTTGTATATTCACTTCTGTGATCTTCCTTTGAAACTGAGTTTCTGGTGCATGCTGCTGGTCAGAAGTTTCCAGAATAACCGTTGACAGGCAGACAACCAAAATACCCTTGGGTTCAGTTCCCTCCCCCAAAAGTAGGTCAGCTCTCTATACCCCTGTCAAGGGGTAAGGAGGTTATTGCTGCACATAGTGTCAAGTATGTGGTTAAAAGGAGTGGTAGATTGTGTCATAAAATTGTAATTCTGTATGAGCTCTCCAGCAACTTCTTGAACATGGATTATCTGTCATTCGAGCCTTTACAGCTACTCAGAATGCATATTACGGAATGGTTGCTATTTTGTAAACCCCCCTAAGAACATAAGACTAGCCTATTGGATCAGGCCAGTGGTCTATCAAGTCCAGCATCCTTTTCTCACAGTGGCCAATCAGGTGCTTATGGGAAACCTGCAAGCAGCAGGACTTGAGCACAATAGCGTTCTCGCTTCCTGCAGCTTCCAGAAACTGGTGTGCAGAAAATTCCAGCAACTGGTATTCAGAACCATTACCTTTCTCATGTGGTTTTGCCTACTAGGAAGAAGACAGGAATGAGACCGCCCCCATGTGATTTCTTTAGCATCCCTGTCTCAAATGTTGTGGTGTCACCAGAAAAAAAATGGGGGCATAGAAGAGGCAAAGTATACTTCTAGGTGGGCGAGTTGTTCTCTGAAATAAAAATAGCAGTACAGTGGTACCTCGGGTTACATACGCTTCAGGTTACATACGCTTCAGGTTACAGACTCTGCTAACTCAGAAATAGTGCTTCAGGTTAAGAACTTTGCTTCAGGATGAGAACAGAAATTGTGCTCCGGCGGCGCAGATAAAGTGGTGCTTCAAGTTAAGAACAGACCTCCGGAATGAATTAAGTACTTAACCCGAGGTACCACTGTATATGTTATTTGCAATGACGGTCCAAGTGGGGGTGGAGGATGACTGATCACCTTGTTTGGAGTGCTAACCCCCTGTCTCCCCTCTGGTGCGTCCCATGTTTGTAATGCTCAGTACAGTGGTACCTCAGGTTACAGACGCTTCAGGTTACAGACTCCGCTAACCCAGAAATAGTACCTCGGGTTAAGAACTTTGCTTCAGGATGAGAACAGAAATCGTGCAGCAGCGGCGCAGCAGCAGTGGGATGCTCCATTAGCTAAAGTGGTACCTCAAGTTAAGAACGGTTTCAGGTTAAGAACGGACCTCCAGACGAATTAAGTTCTTAACCAGAGGTACCACTGTACTAACATGTTACCTTGCCTCTAGCAAGCTAAAGTGTTTTTTTAAATCACCGTAAGTGAATTAAATTTTTGTCACTGTGTCTTATCAGATGCCGTAGCACATTAAATGATCAAAGGTTGACTAGAGGGCTACTTTTTCATTTTTTAATGTCTGTCACATCCTTAATTCACCCATTTTATGACTGCGTCTGTGCCTTGGGCAGCTGATAGAGGTCAGAATGTTCCTGTCTCCTGAAATACAGGTGGTGTCAAACAGTAGACAACTTGCCTCAGTGTACCCAGTCTCTAAATATGCAGGGAGCAGCTCTCTTTCTAATATATTTGAATAAATGAGGGCACCCCTATAATTTGGGTACACCAGGCATCTGTTTACTTTGTCTCTGTGGCTTAGCCAGCCTTTACCTCTTGGTTTCACTCTGGTTGGACAATAGGTTTTCATGCTTTACACACCAGCAGAAGCAGAATAAACTATGCATATTAAGCAAAGACACATGCTGCATAATATTATCAAGATGCAGTAGTTTCCTTTTAAAGTGCAAAGTTTGGATAATTGCTGCAGAATCTGGATGTTTATAGCATGGCGTGTGCCCAGTCCTGATTGCAACAGGAGTTGAACGCCTTTCTTAACAAATATTGTTAGCCGTGAAGATTGCTTACCTTTCTAAATGCCTTGTGCATAATTTTATTGTAGTAGATGAAGTGTTTGGTATCGGAAAATCATGTTCCAATGCATACTAGTTTACAACGAAATTCATTGTCACTGGCCATGTTCCTCATTTCCAAGGTTAAACTAATTTCTAATTGAGTTGTACTAATGAAATGAGGTTTTTTATTCATGAGATTTTCTTAGTGGGCTTCAGTCTACACATCATCAAAGTCTGGGGATACTTCATATATATCACAACTTTCTTCAGTAGAATTCCAGGTGGCATGGATATGATTCTCATGTGGCTTTCCATCCCATTTAGTTTTAGAAAGGTTGCTACATCAAGTGACTATGGAGCATCGATGGGAGCCTGTAGCTTGTCAGATGTTGTTGGACTCCAACGCCCATCAACTCTAGTCAGAATAATCAATAGCTAGGAATGATGGGCATTGTAGTCCAACAACATCTGGAGGGCCACATGTTCCCCACCTTTTTAGTGTTATACAAGTCCCAATCAACTAATGTTGCTTTCCCCTCAAAAAGTTGTCAGCATTTATATTTACAGAGGTTTGCATTTTCAGGTGAATTGTTGGAGGCTGGGATTATGAGGAAATCTTGAGCTGAAAGTTACAAATGGCTGGCTGTGACCAACATATCCGTTGCTTCAAAATGAAACGGACAACTTTGATACAAACCATTCTGCTATCGATGGGATTCTCTTTCAGTTTGTGTGTTTAGTATTAATATATCAGTAAATTTCTTTCTCAATTTCCATGCCAGGGCAGTCTGGTTCTGTTAAGCCATCTTTTGTTAAAAACAACAACGACAAACCCTATAAATGAACTGGATTAGAACAACTGCACTGTTGGCATTAGGACACAGTGTGAAATCTTCATGTTCTTTACCAAGGTTCTTAGTGATTTTCTTCTGTTTTCCTTTCCAGACTTATTCGGGTCTCTTCTGTGTGACAATAAACCCTTACAAATGGCTTCCTGTCTACAAGACAGAAGTTGTTTCAGCTTACAAGGGCAAGAGACGTTCAGAGGCTCCTCCTCACATCTTCTCCATAGCTGATAACGCTTACCATGACATGCTGCGTAGTAAGTAGCATCATTTGCCCACATGGCCCTTATTTGTTTGTCCTACAACTAAATCTTGCTTTCAAATGTTTTCCAAATGCTGACAAGAGAAGCTTCTAGGAAGGGCATTTAGGCACTATATCATGGGCAAAGAGCCTGGAGATGGTAAGATCTGTGTTCTTCAGTGCCACTCAGATTAGGGATAATATCTACTAATCTCCTGACTGTCGGAACTGTATATCCTTGAATTGACTTGTAGCCTAACAATGCCAGAAGGGCCACAGGTTCCCTGCTCCTGGTTTACAAGAAGTATCTGAAGAAGTGTGCATGCACACGAAAGCTCATACCAAGAACTAACTTAGTTGGTCTTTAAGGTGCTACTGGAAGAATTTTTTTTTTTGTTTTAAGAAAGAAAGAGACATTGTTGAGAGGATTTTTTATTTCCCCCCAGTAATGCTTAGGTTTTATAAGACACTAAAACCATCATTACACAGTCTTCCCGTCTCTGAGCAGTGAGAAACTCCAGGGATGTGCAGCGCTCACTCTGAGTTAATTTATTTGGAAGAAGATCAATGAAAGGTTATGACAGTTTTTAAGCATTTGAATTTATTTACAGGTGCAGATCTAGATTTAATATTCCAACAGAAAGCCAAATTCATTGTCATGTGTCAGGTCTCCAACTTCCCTGACACAGTTTGCTTACTGTGCTCCTAAAAACTCAGCTCTCTGTGCCTGTCTCTCAGAAACTAGACTTTATCCCTTTTGTTCACTTCCCAGGCACACACAGACCTAGCATACACCATCCTTAGCTGGATAGGGAAAGAACCCACCCACTTCAGATGACTTAAGGGAGATCCATCTATCAAGAGCAATCAGTTAGCAATCTGCCTAAAAAAAGGTTTTGCAACTGTGTCTTAAAGGAGCTTCAGCAGTCATTCTTGCTCTCTAGTCTCTAACACTCTCTTGTCAAAACCTCCAGTCTTACAACACAATGATCCAGGTCACCTCGCCTGTGTTCCTGTGCTCACATGAAACAAGAATTTCTCCATGGACATCATTGTCAGAGGGTGAATCTGTGTACTCAGCAGCCCCATAACTCTTTCTGACAGTAAAGTGAATGGCAAACCTTGGTTTGCTTCAATCTCTATGTGCACGTTTCTGTTGCTCCTACCCCTGCCTGCTCCCTGTTTACACAGAGAAATAATCAGCCAGTAGGTCAGGGCACTTTCTTTTCTTTTCTTTTTTACAGTCCTGCTTCCCTTTGGCTGAAAGAAAGGAATGTACTGTAACAAATAAGCCTTCTTTGAACAGAAACCACAAGGCAGAAATAGTGATCTCAATAACTGGAGCAGCTGTTTAAGAGAAGGAGCATGCGCTTAGCTCTCCTGTTGAAATCAATGTGTGCTAAAACTGCATGGCTTTGGCTGCACTACAGCCAAATGTTAAAGGCCACTGACTCTAGCCTCCCTCAAGCACTGGAGCAGTGATATAACATCATGCCACCAGAACTGGAGCACACTGCAAATTCATGTCCGAGCAGCAGATTTCTTCCATCAGAGGGCAGTGGTGATGCATGCCTGATTATCTGGAGCACTAATATTTGTGCAGCCATCGACGTTCTGGAACATTACCAAGGGAGCTTGGGGTTTGTGCTCATCGGTTTCAAATGTGACTCTGCACAGAGCACTATAGGTATACTCCCATTGATAACATTAAAATAATATATCAAAGTATGAGACATTTTCCTGTCTTGTGCATTTTGTTGGAGCTGGCTGAGTTATAATAACGGTTGAAGCATAAAAAGCAAAGCAAAATCTATAATTATGCTTGGCACAGTAATGTGTTTGGCTTTCTAGGTCCTTATAATTATAGCATCTTTAAATGTGAGGTGTCTGCCCTTAAGAGGCATGCACTATTGTTACAGAGCTAGTTTGTCTAGATCCCCTGAACTAAGAACATTCCCCTCACCCCTATCAAGTCAGTGCAATACCCCAGCTGTATGGGTCTTGTTTGCAACTCTTGTATGGACTGACCATTCTGGGCGGGGTTGGTAGGGGAGGCAAGTACGGTACTTCAAATTCCATTGACTGCCATTTGCAAATAAAGCACATGCTTGCCCAATATAACATAAATTCCTCTAGGTTCTCTCCTCTTTCAAATCACTTGCATAAAAAAAGATTGCTAAGCCAACATGTTACACAGCTGGTACTATGAGACAATCTCTATGCCAGAGAAGGGAAACTTGTGGCCCTTTAGAAATTGGACTGCAACTTCTATCAACCCCAGCCAGCGCAGCCAGTTGTCAAGGAATATGGGATTTGTAGTCTAGCAGCAGCTGGAGGGCCACAAGTTCTCCATCCTTGCCCTGACCAATTGGATTGCCAATGCTGATTTCCTTTTAATTCCCAAAACATGCCCTTTCATTAGAAAGCAAACAGAAGCCCCGTGTTCTCGAAATTGTTGCGGGGCAACCAAACCTTTTGGTTTAAATGCAAAACTTGAAACTTCACTACGTTTCTTCCATGTAACACGAATAGAACAGGTTGAAGGGAAGCATCTAACACAACAGGTTTAGAAACCCCCTAATCTGAATGTCTTTAGCTGAATGTGTTTTCCATGTTACAGAGCCTTTGATATGCTAATTAACCCCAACCTGTCAAAAACCCATCCCTCCTTTGTTTCTCTTTGCTCTCTTCATTCCTACTTCCTTTGAAGAGCCCAGTGAATCTCAACAGCACACCTTGCTCTTGGAATTTCTACCAAGAAACTGATCTGGTTAAATTGTCTTTCTCTGCTTGTGATGGAGTCATGCAATGGCTTTTGCAGCTACCTCCACAGCAGGGATATGGCACTAAATAATGGAGAGAACCCAAAATGAATTGGTTTTGCAGGCCAATGCATTTTGCCAAAGCACTTAAAATTGTATACTAAACAAGATATTTCCCATGTTGAGGGAAGTTTGCCTGAATGGGTTTCTTCTTGTTTATTTCTGTTTGTATAAGAAATTATTCCCTGGTGACTACGTAGCAAGTGCAATTACAGGTTCCTTTTTTCCCTTCTGCACAGATCGAGAGAACCAGTCAATGCTGATCACGTAAGTGGATCTTTTTCTAGGGAGGTTATTTATGCAATGCCAAAAAAGGAAAGATGCATCTTCGAAAAGAAGGGCAAAAGAGGACACAGATTCGCTTAACATTTCTATATTCTAATTATAGTATAGATGCAAATTGAGAAATAATTGCTATAATATAAATAAAAATACAATATATCCCACCACAGTGGGAAAGATTGTGACCAAGTGATCTATGTGCCTACTCAGTAACTATTTATAGTTACTTTAAGGCCCAGTTCTCCCTTCTTATCTTCAAATCTGATCAGACAGTCCTTCACACAGAGGACTCCTTCAGAAGAGGACTGTTCTATGTAAAATAGGATGTATATCCACCCCAATCTTTTCAGATGCCTCACATCAGCAAAAGCAAACATTTCGAATTGGTTTCTAGTATGCTTACCAGAGCACACGAAATTGGAGACATTTTATTTCGAAGCACATATTCGCCTTTGCTAATTCGTTTGCAAGGTTTTTCAGCATGGGCATTAAGAGAAGTAAATTTTACCCTTGGGTTCGGAGTATAAAGTTAGTTATTGGGCCAAGAGTAAGTACTTACAGAGGGAATGCCTGGTAGGGGTGAGTGTGAGCAGAAAGGCAGTGTGGGCCTGGGTGGCAAGGATTAACCAGGGCTTCCTGGCTACTGTCCTTAAATATTGCTATTCCTGATTGGATTTACCTGAGGTGCCTTGAGTCTGTTTCCAAGAAACACAGCTCTGTTGCGTCACAACTCAGGTTCTGATACTCTGGTTTTAGTCAGTGTATATTTTGTTGGTGCCTTTGTTCCAGAAGAAGAGCTGTGTTTTATTAGACCAAAGACGTACTACGTTTGGGCCCAGTTTCCCACAGTGGCCAACCAGGTGGCTTTGAGAAAACTCACAAGGAGAGTTTCAGTAGCCCACTGTTGCCTCCACCATCTTCTATTCAGTGGTGTTTCACATGGCCATCAATAAGACTAAGGCTTGTATCTAATGTAATGCTGAATAACTTGTTCCCTTAGCACAAGGATTTGCCCTCGGATAATTCTATTTCCCCTCTCTCTGCCCCGCTTGCCCTCCTCAAATCTGCTCCAGAAGGCTGGGAGAAAGCCCAATAAGAGATTTAGGAAGTGAATGAGAGGGGGAGAAAGTTCCAAAGGTAAATTATTGCACTGATGGAATGAGTTAGTGGGATACTGCCCTGATAGCGCTATCCTTTCCATACTCCTATCCTCTTGTGTGCCCAGATGCCACAGTTCTCAGCATCCCAACTTAGAGAACAAAATCAGACATAACACAGTGTATTTGGGTCAAATAAGGCCACAACTGGCCTCCTTTTATACTCAAGGAGCAGACCCAAGTGAAGCCTGCTGCCAGTTGGGTTCGCTCCCTGGCTGAGCACCCACCCCTTAGCCTGCTCACCATTGGCCAATTTGGCTGCAGGCATGGATTCAAACTTCCTGGCAGGAGAGGAGGCCTATCTGGCCTCCCGCCTGCTGGGAATCATCCATCACGACAAGCCTGTGTTGAATCAGTGCCAGTGGACTTACCTGTAAACATGGATCGAAAGTGAATTCCTTAAAGGTGAGGTTGCTGGACATGATTCATTCCAATGTAGCACAGTTTAGAGTTTGGGAAAAAATGCAAATGTATAAGGCTGATGGAAGTGAAAAGCTTGAGATTAATAATGTCATCTTCCTTCTGTTTCATAGTGGAGAATCTGGTGCCGGCAAGACTGTGAACACGAAACGTGTCATTCAGTATTTTGCCACAGTAGCAGCAATCGGTGAACCTGGAAAAAAGAATGTAAATATTCAAATGACTGTTTTCTTCTTCTGCGCAAATAATATTTATTACCCAACAGGTGGAAGACATTCTGTTTCCAAGGCCCTGTAAGCACCAGTTAGCATGATTGTTAACTGCATGGGGATATGTGAGAAGAAGCTGTAATATTTCAAAGTGATTCGGGGGAAGCAGAGCTCATGGGAGTTTGCCCAATGAGTCTGGCTGTTGTTTATCATCATATCATCTTTTTTTTTGGGTTCTGAATGTGAAGAAAGGGGCAGAATGGAGAGTAGGGGTATAGAAACTTGTTCAGTGTTTCAGAAGACAAAGGTCCATTTGAGCTGCTTTTAATTCTGTTTGATTATTACAGTTTGCTTAGTATCTTTATCTGTGAGTTGTAAGGCTCAGTCTTCTATTTCAATGCTGTTGATGGATTAGGCTTTGGTGGGTAGGTACATTTATGTCCATTTTGTTCCAGAAGCTCCTGAAGAGGTTGGTGAAGGTTACTAAGAATTTTATACTAGAGATCTATAGTTCTTCTTCCAGGATGACAGATCCCAGGGAAGAGTGAATGGTTGTAAATCCAGTTCAAGCCTGCAGTGTAAATGTACCCTGGGGACCTGGAGATGGAGCAGTGCCGTAACTGGTAATGCTCCATTAACAGCTATAGCCGTTCCTGGTTCTGCTGTACTAGCACAAGCATTCTCCACCTCTGATCTGTCACCTCTTTTTTCTGTGCTTTGCGACAGAGTCATCTGGACACACGGCGAAGCATCAGGAGTAGCATAGTGTGGCTAGGGACAGAGCCCTGCAAATCTAGTATGCTGGGTCAGTGGCTGGGCTTCAGACTCTGATGATGGGTGATTGGATCTAAAACATGGCAGGGACTGATGGTTTAATACTGACAGCAATAATGGGCAACTTGATAGGTGTAGGAACAAAGCATGTGCAAAAAAAATTGGTTTCTGAATGTGAAGGAAGGGGAAGAATGGGGAGTATGGATATAGAAACTGGTTTTGCAGCCATACAGAAGATCCACATATGATCCTAGGACTGGGTGCCTCTCCTTGGTTCAGGACAAGCAGCTTAGAAGTTGCAGAATAAAAAAGGTCTCTGAAATCACGAATAGAGCGGGATTGATAAGCAATGTTAAATGATATTTTCTAATCACTTAGACTAACTGTTTGTTTAATTGTCTTTTCATTTTTCTTTGAAAGCAACCAGCAACCAAGACTGGGGTAAGTAGATGAGTTTCCTGTAATTGAATTTGTATTTCACAGATTTTGCTGACGTGCCGTGAATGTTGTTCACAGGTGTATGTAAAACTTCATTTGCACTTGCCCTGCTTCTAAACCTAGAAGAACACAGCTGAAATTAATTTTTGTTACAAAGCCAACTCAAAATCATAGAAACTGGCTCTGAGCAATCTAACTGTATGATTCTAAACATTTTTAGCTTTCTAGACCAATCCTATTGCATCTTTTTATACTTAATGTTTCTTTCATTTTGTGAAGCTGGGGTCAGCCTAAGCGAGAAGTGCTTACGTTCTGCTGATTTCAACTGGAGAATATTAGCACAGGTTTCATTCAGTGACATGATTGTTGTTGTTTTCCCATTTTTACAGAAACTTGCCCCTTCTTTCCCTTTCCTTCAGCTTCGTTGCATGTCTTCAGCATAAAGTATGCTAGCAAGAGACTTTATTTTTTCCAGTAGGCATTAGACTACACATCAAATCTGTTGGTTTTTAATATTTTGTATTTCATTTTAAGGGAAAGTTCTATAGGTAAAATAAAAGGATTCCCTGGATGCCTGAGATTCAGGTTTGGGCAAGTACTCTTTGGTGAGAGAGTCTCAGCAGAGATTCAAAACCACGAAATATACAGCAAAGTAAAGTGTGGAAAAGGGACGCAGGTGGCGCTGTGGGTAAAACCTCAGCGCCCAGGACTTGCCGATCGCATGGTCGGCGGTTCGAATCCCCGCGGCGGGGTGCGCTCCCGTCGTTCGGTCCCAGCGCCTGCCAACCTAGCAGTTCGAAAGCACCCCCGGGTGCAAGTAGATAAATAGGGACCGCTTACCAGCGGGAAGGTAAACGGCGTTCCGTGTGCTGCGCTGGCTCGCCAGATGCAGCTTGTCACGCTGGCCACGTGACCCGGAAGTGTCTGCGGACAGCGCTGGCTCCCGGCCTATAGAGTGAGATGAGCGCACAACCCTAGAGTCTGGCAAGACTGGCCCGTACAGGCAGGGGTACCTTTACCTTTACCTTAAAGCGTGGAAAGATAGCCTGTAAGACTTTTTAAATATCCCCTTCTAAGTTGCTTCCAAACTTCCCCACTTCCCTTAGCATAGAAAGAGACCACACATTTGGCATCTTTGTAAATCACTTTTAGGTTTCTTTCTTTCTTTTTTAACAGTCAAGCAGTGCATAAATTTTATGAAATAGATATTTGGGAGTTTCCACAAGTGCATTTTTTAAAAAATGGCAGAGATGCATTCTGCCAAAATCGTCGAGTTTCCGCCAAATCTTAAAGCCCTTTAGTTGGCAAATTGTGAGTGCAGGGTTGTACCCTAAATGTACTTCCATCTTTTGCATTCTAAGGGGACTTTGGAAGATCAAATCATCCAAGCCAACCCAGCCTTGGAAGCCTTCGGGAATGCCAAAACTCTGAGAAATGACAACTCCTCACGCTTTGTAAGTATGCCTTATTGCTGTGGTACAGTCTGACTTCATTAGTAATACCATATTTATAAAAATGTTCAGCATTCAACATAGACAGCTGTACGGCTGATACTTAGGGCCTTTTCACACCTACCATTTATGGTGAAAGTGTTGTTGTTTGATCTGACATTTGTAAGAGTGAATTTGTAGCTAGTTATCGACACTTTTGCTCACACTTTGCTATTATTAGAGAGCAGTGTAGGGATTTCCTGTCAACGTGATTGGCAGGTTGTGCCTGAGCTGAGAAAAGTTCAGTAACTGTAGTCACACCCCTAATGAACTCTCGTGTTCTGCCAGCCAGTAAATGTCACAGTTATGAGCATGAGCATGGGGATAGCTCTTTCGTGGCTATTTAATTAACTAATTCCAGAATACCGACCTTATGGAAGTATAGGAGTTTAGAAGAGGAACTACATGCCTGCCTGAGGTGATAGCAAGCCTAGTTCCTCTGATGAAATTTGGTCTGCTGCTGTCATGGCCAGTACTTTGCCTCAGTATCGCCGTCTCTTTCTGCCACATTTCATCTCTGAATTGAGCTTGCATACCAACAGCTTGCACCTGTCAGAAAGAAGTGGCATGAAATAGGCATCTTCCCAACCCCACCCACCCACCCTCCTCACAGAAACTGGGATGCTGCTTGCACACATGCCACACAACTGAAAATATTGAGAATCCATTCTGGATCTTCACAAAAGTTGGGGGAGTGGTGGTTTGCGTTCCAAGAAATATGGGGTTGTGAGGCCATTATTCTGGGATACTAGCTGAATGATACCAATGTTGTCTAGCAATATGCCCCCAAATCTAAATCCCCAATTAGCTATTCCACTATAAAATGGTAAGCGTGGAAAGGCACTTATTGAAACATCTACAGATGTTGCTTCCAGTCTCACCTTTTGCCCTTCTGACTAAGCACTTCGCAGTAGTCTCTGCCGTGTAGCAGGTGGAACAGGACTGAAGCAGCAATCCCTGTCTTCACCAAACATTCACCCAGCCAACTACACAATCCATACAGCTGGAGACACGGCTTTTTGCAGAGTTCCTAAACTTGCGAGGCAGGAGTTGTGTGGACAAGCTTTGAACACAGGTTGGCTTTGTCTGGAGGCTGCTGCCGTGATCTTGCTTCTCCCTCTCACAACAGGTGTTTATTGAACACATTGTACATATTTTGAATGTCAGCCAGCGGACTTGAGTTCTGTTTGGACAATCACTTGATATTTATAAAGCACCCGTTACATCCTCCATACAGATATTTTTGCAGCACTTCACAGCAAAATAATGGAGCTTGCTAATTGGAACTAGGAAGGGATGGACATAGCAGCATGCATAAACCACAGGAAATGTCAGAAAGCAGAAAGGTGCATATATCCATGCAAGAAGGTTGTCAAGGGGATAATTTGACCAATTAATCAAGTACAGCAATGACGTATCAATGAACTGAGTGCTGCATCCTCCTGTCCAGCAGATGGAAGGTGGTTACATCTTCTGAATGGATGAGTGGGATGCAGATAACAACTGCAGCACAGCACAATTACTGCTGTGCTCTTGTGTAACACTGTGTTAAGTAAAGCACACAAGTCATGCGGAACAATGCCCAAAGGATGCAAAGCAAGCTGGTCACAAGTCAACAGAAGGGTTATAATTTGTTGTTATAATTATGGTATGCGGAATGCAAAGCTACTGAAACCATAGTCTGTCTCTGCAGCTTCCCAGTTCATGTACTTAACAAAGGCAGAGGAGATATGAGAATCTTTAGACACCTGGAGGTTACACAATCTGTTTCAAGCAGATTACATGGCTCCCCCCCCTTAATCTCACTTCATACATGTGAGGTGATAAACCTTGCCTACCTGAAAGGAATGTTTAAAATTATTTGAATGTATCCACTCATCATTTAGGGCCCCCCCCACCTTAAACCATGACAACCAATATCTAAAGCATCTCCAAATAGATGCCCACCCTTGCTTTTTTGTTCATATTTCTAATTGGTTCTATATTCCTTTTCTATCTGTTGGTTGTTGCAGTTATGTGTATTGATATATTCTCTTTTGTACAAATTAGGGTAAATTTATCAGAATCCATTTTGGAACTACAGGAAAGCTATCTTCAGCAGATATTGAAATTTGTAAGCAACATACTAATTTCTATACTTCCTTGAGCTATATATTCAGATTGCATGTTTCAACCTATTTCTCAATGTAATTCTTCATTACCCAACCAGATCTGCTAGAGAAATCCCGAGTTATTTTCCAACAACCAGGTGAAAGAGACTACCATATCTTCTACCAGATCTTGTCTGGGAAAAAAGCAGAGCTACAAGGTAAGAGAAAGGAAAGACGTGGTGTGTCCAAATTAAGAAATGCAACTATGATCAGCACTGCTGCATTAAAGAATGAAAAACTAAAGACAGGTGACTTGCAGAACCCAATTAGGTTCAGTGGTGGGTTGTTGTTTTTACACTTTTTGTAACTGCTTGTTGGTGCAATCCTATGCACACTTTTATGGGAGTGAGCCCCACTGCTTTTCATTTTTTCATTTGGGGTATGTTCACATTGACAGCTCAATACACGGCAAGGTCGTTCCCCTCCCCTGCTGTGTTTGAAGCCTCAATTTACATGGTTTTGTTCACCTAAGAGAGAATTCTTCACCCAATACTCATGAGCTTTTTGGTTTTCCTGTCTCGGCAACATCACCCCCTACACCCCACCACTGAAGCTGTCACCTGTGCAATGGCTGTCTCAAATGTTCAAACCATTCTGCAGTATAAAGCAAATGTGGCTTACTTTTTCTAATTGGATTGAAACTGGTTTGAGAAGCTACAGGGCTGATCTGGATTGGCACTAATCTTGTGTTAATGCATACTAACAGTGGGAGCACACTGGGTGTGGAACTATTATTTGTTTGTTTGTTATTTATTATACCCCATCCATCTGACTTGGTGACCCCAGCCACTCTGAGCGGCTTCCAACAGATATAAAAACATAATAAGACAGGGTTTGTGTGAACATACCCTTAAAATGCCTTTGGGCTATGTGATGTCCTAGAATGTTATTGGTGCTGGTGCTAAACAAAGAAATTGGCAACACTTCCCAGGGTATGTGGCTTCCACCCCATTGGGTGGATCTCCTTGCTTGATTCCCTTCCATATATTTTCACTTATTCTTTTTTAAAAAAACAAAAACCACTTTAATTCAATCTGTGTTTCATTAACTGCTATACTTGGGATCAATTTAATGTGTACATGAGTTCAAATGATAATGTTATATATAGTTTCATTTCATTTTAGAATTGTACACTGCCTTGTAAGGGCATTGTGTCCTCTCAGGCAGTTTAGAATTCCTTTCAATAAACAAATGCTGGAGACCATGGGAGGTTACAGTGCTCAGATGCCCATGTTCTGCTTTTTTTCTGGGTGGCCATTGTGAGAACAGGATGCTAGAACTAGGTGGGCAATTGGCCTGATCCAGCCATCTTCTTTTTTATGTTCTTATATATTATCCTCTAATATATTATTCTCTTTGAATCTGTAGATAGGGTTTTGCCTAAGACACATCTTTGCCTCGTGACATTTATACATGCTGATTGTGAGTTGATGCAGATTGCTAGAAATCCCCAGCTAGGCTGTGCTTCTTCTAATATAGCGAAGCATCCCTTTATCCATGCGCTAAATTGCTGCTTGGCAAAAGCAGTAATAATCTCATTTGAGTTCTTGTTATCCCGGCAGAGTGGTCCATCTGCTAAACCCTTAACCCAGTTAGCCTTTGCTGTGGTCTAATTAAGGAAGATTAAAGGAACTGTTTCAAAGTAATTTTGTGCTAACAGGATTTGAACGCAAATATTGTACTGTGAAAATGTACCTTCCATGGTGAATTTATTCCTCTGCTACACACATTCGCAGAGATGGTTGCATGCATCAGTCACCACCCAAATTTTTATTTAACTATTACAATCAGTTGCTCATAAGTAGTCCTACTGAGAGAGAGAAATTACTGCTGGTAATAATGTCTATAGTACACACACATCCTGTTGTCTTAACAAATTTCCTGAGTATTTCTTTTGTCTTGCTTTTTGGCCAATATTCTTGACTGTCATTTGAATTTCCAGTGCTTTCCTACAGGGGATCAATGCACTGGAATCAGCTGAGGCTCTTTAGTTGACTTAGAGTTTGTTGGGCCCTGTGCAATTTCTTTTGCCTTTTATCTGTTGCAGAAGAAGAAGGATCTGAAAGCATGGCACCGTATGATACCAAGTTGACCAAGGTGTGAGACTTGGGGGCTTTTGGCTAAGTGGAATTAGCTGTATGAGCACAAGAGCGACTAGGTGGCACTGTGCAGCAAGGTCCATTAATTTCAACAGGTCTACTCTGAGTAAAACAGAGTTGAATACCACCCTTGATTATTTGAGCACAGAAATAAAGATCATTTGCAGTTGCACCTCAAGATGAAATCCAGGCACTGCAAGATGTCAGAAGTGGATTACTTATTTAACCTAGCAACATCTGAAGAGCAACAAGTTCCCTAGCCCATATCAAAGTGGTTTGTGGTGGAGGAAACTTTTATGCACTTTTGTGAACAAATAGCAGGTTGGCTCAGAAGAAATAATTGTCAGACTTCAAGTGGTGGTGTCCAACTTCTTTCTCCTGGTCTTTCCTGTGGAAGTCATGCATATGGCACTTATAAGTGATCCAATTTAGGAGCTAAACTCTACACATTTCTGCAGGTCTAACTTCTTCCAACGATATTCCACTGTCATTCTGATGCCACCATAAACCTTGTCTTATGACATTGCATTTATGGGTACATGTTGGCTCATGAGGTATACTCAGTAACAGACCAGATCTCAAGAAGAGAAGCTATTTTAATTTTTCTTATTTGCAGATATGCTCCTGGTGTCGACAAATCCCTACGACTTCCACTTCTGCTCACAAGGTGTAGTTACTGTGGACAATCTGGATGATGGGGAAGAGCTGCTGGCAACTGATGTAAGATATGATTCATTTCGATTAAAGATGGCAAAATCTTGCAAGCCATAATCTGTTGCAGACGTTGCTGTGGTTAGATATTTCTTTTGTTCTCACTGAAACTGTAGCAGCAGATTTGAAGCACTGCACACCCAGCACATGGAAAACGTGATGTAGCATAGAGTAGCTGAGCACAACTGTGCTACCAAGTCAGGGCATCTGGTGCATTTCAGTATTTAGGATGCTCTTAGCATAGGGTCCCCTTCAGCCAAACCTCTCTTCTTGCTTTAAGTCTTTCAGAGTAGAGAGAGTGGGGAAATGCAGGCATAGCCTTAGGGCTATGGTTTCCATTACATTTTGTAGGTTTCCATTAGGTCTTGAGTACATAGGAAAATAATTCTTATCTCTGTATGTACAGATATTATAAAAAGCAACACTAAATCTGTGTATCAGCATTCATAATTCTTTAAAACTTGATCTGCCATGCAGAGACAGTAGGTGGTATTCAAAATTTTTGTTCCACAAGGGATTTCCATTGAACATTTGATACAACGCGATGGTCATATCATAGAATCATAGACAGCAGCACTAAGAAAAACACATCAGGTATAAGAAGTCCATCTTGATGTAGGGCAGTGGTGGGTAATCTCCAGGCCACAGGCCAAATGTGGCCCTTGGGACTCTTCGCAGACTATGCCTCTGAGTAGGCTATGCTCTGCAAGTGTGTCAAGTCTCTGGGCTGTGATAATGCCTCTTGCTTGCCTGCTTGGAGGAAGGAAAGACACGTGGCTGGAATGTAGCCTATTGTACAAAGGTAAGGATCAAATCTGTTGTCTCTGATCCCACTCACTTTGCTATCTCTTGTCTTGCCCACAACTGGCATAGAGGCCCCAGAAGGTTGTGTGTGGGCTGAAGGTTCCCCCTCTTGATGTAGATATATATGTAGAGATCAACTATTTTGCTCATTGCAATCTCTGTAGTCAACCTCAAGTAACCTTTTGAGAGTTCCCATCAAATGTGAATGATGCCTCTCTGAGGTACTCTTGGTGACTGTTCCCGAGCTGTAAAATTTCATTCCTCTGGGATTCACAAGATATTGACATCATTACGCGCACATATCCCATAATGGATTTTTAATGCTATCCTATAATGTGTTTTTAATGCTATTCCCTACGCTTTTGATGTTCTCAAGTACTTTGTAATGCATTCACATTGCACATAATGCATATTTTTGGTATGGAGAACATAGCAATCCAGAATAATCCCAATAAGTTTCCCCTGATATTGGTATTAAACCATCCATCCTTTTATAGTGTATTTAGGGATTGGAAAGGGGGGGATCTTACTGGCTAAGGTACTTCTGTATTAACACCCCTCATATGAACAATGGGAACAACAATATGAGAGAAAGATAAGCCAATGCAAAAGTCACTTGCTTAGTATCTATCAGATAAATTATGTTGTTTCCAACAGACCAAGTGAGCAGCAAGCAACCAGAGGACTCAGGCATTTTGAGAATGTAGTTTTGGATACGGTAAATGATCAGAGGGTCCTGGCTTCTGCATATGTTAAAGGGAATACATTAGAATAGCCCACATGTGGTATTATACCTCAGTGAAACTGACACACATGCAGGACACAATGTTTCCAGACCATTGGCGGGATTGTGGTCAGGGCTGAGAGTGGTAACAGATAGTGAGATTTTGGGTACTCAATGAGAGTAATATAATAACTAAGCAGATTTTTTTTGGAGGGGGAGAGAGAGAATGTAGTATTTAAGGGCTTATTTAGATTCATTTTAGCTGCTGAAAGATTTGTGATAATGGAACTGTGGAAAGAGCAATAGGACTCTCATGGTACATCTCGGTTACAGTAAATCTTGGGAAATTACCATTGCAGAAAAGTTTATACATCAAATCCATTTCATCAAGGAACAAACAAAACAAAGCACCAATTTTTTTTACAGAAAGGAGTAGCTTTTTTTAATGCTAATAAGATTGACAGGACAAGACAATATATAGTGATTTAGGAAAAAACAATGATTTAAGTTTGTGGGGAATTTTCATCGGTGGAATACAGGAGAAGACTCACTGTTATATTTGTCAATCAGGGTGACTTAAAGCATTATAAACAATATTCTTTATCCCCCATATTTTAATTGATTTTCCAGTAATATATATTAAATGGACACAATTAAATCCACACAGTGAGAAAGGGTCCACCCTCCTCTTGCCAGAAGTAAGTGTTCTTGTTCATATTATATTGTATGCTCTTCAATCATATTCACTTACTGTCTATTTTTGTCAATCATTTAAGCAGGGATCTTCTATATCATATCATCACCATCATCTCCATCAATCAAAGGAGACAAAACATACACAAACATAGTTCTAACAAGGAGGAAGCAACCAGGAAGTCCAGATCTGTGCTGATGGCAGTCAACATAGTGTTCTCCATTCCACATATGTAAAAAATGGCCATTAATTGGCACAGAATGTAACTGGCTTCTTTTCTCCCCTCTATACTGCTACATCATGGGTTATTTTCTCCTGAAGGAGCTATTCATACATTGCTAAACCATAAATCTAGCCCTATAGACCTTGTAAATTTCACTAAGTTTGGACTATAAAGATTCTCACTACTAACGTTCTGAATAGACCTGTTGTATTAATATATTTATTCGTCTCCTCAAAAAGACAAGTGAAACAACATTGTTTATGATGCCTTAAGTCTCTCTGATTGATGAATATGATAGCAGTGGTTGTCTTTCTGTATTAGTCCCATAGCAAAAAAGAATATTGTTACAGGTCTGGGGCAACAGAGTTTGGGGGTGCAAGGGCACCCATAAATGCTAGAGTTAGTGAATGCTAGAAATTAATAAATGGTAGAATTTAGATAATGTTTTGAGTATTGAAGGAAAGATGCCAGGCCAGGGCCTCACTTAGGATAGAAGTTATTAAGAATGGCAAAAGGTGCTGGAAGTGAGTCATTAACCCATCAATAAAAACCATCAACAGGGCAAGATATTTTCTGACAAGGACCTAGTGGGAAGCTCCCATGGTTATCATGGGTGTATGATTTCAGCTTCCATGACATAGGAAAACAGAGAAGTGGGGGCTGTACCCACAGAAATAAATAGCTGTTTAACATGAGACTGGGGTTTTTTTCCCCTAGCAAGGGTCTTTGGGAAGGAGAAGGGTGGAGCCAGAACTCCAGGCAGAAGCCATGCAGGGCAGAACCATCTTGGCAGGCTGGGACAGAGACTCCAATGCTGTGCTGCTGTGGGAAGCAAGTCCCTCTTGTGATGTAATGCTCTGAACTCTCTTCAAAGTAGACCCAGGTGTAAATATGGGTACAATAAACCATATTTCTTCAAGGCTGTGCCTTGATTTCCCAATGGAAACTCAACCCTGGCTGAGCTGCTGGGACCCCTGGAACCTCAAGCAGCCGCTCGGCAGAGATTGGATTGGCGTGTAGCACTATTATGTTCAGCTGTCATGCCATTGAAGTTGTTGGGCTATTTTTTTGGTTGAAGGTTTTATTTGCTTACCTTAAAAATGAAAACTCTCCCCCTCTCTCTCTTCAGTAGATTATTAGTGGTAGGAACTATTCTCTGTTTTTGAGGAATAGGGCAGATTCAAAATAAATAGCAGAGGCTTCTTGTTCCTCTAGTTTATTTTTTTGAAAGATCAATACCAGAACAAGCACAAACATCAGCCGTGCCGCGAAAGAGCTCTAGAAAATAAAGCTGCATGTTGTTTCACAGGCAAGTGACAAAACGCCCTGTTCTTTTTACTTTCCACAGCAAGCCATGGATATTTTGGGCTTTGTGGCGGATGAAAAGTATGGTGCCTACAAGCTCACTGGTGCCATTATGCACTTTGGAAACATGAAATTTAAACAGAGACCCAGGGAGGAGCAGGCAGAAGCCGATGGCACTGAAAGTAAGCTCTTCCGTATCTGCCCATTCGCAATGTTCCATGCCCTGTGTTGAGCTGCGAGCCTGCAAGGCAAGGTCTGTTTTAAATGACTGCAGGGATGTTCACAGTTATTCAATGAGTGCACAATCTGTGTACACAAATAGTTGAGCTGTGCACATGTACAGTTATTCACAAGTAATGTTCAGCAAGTGTACAAACTGTCCATAAGTGTTAAGCTATACATCAAGGGTACAGTCTTTCACACAAACACTTGTACATTTGTAGGGCCAGCTTATACCTGTGTTCATTGAAACATGTGAATAAGCCTTGTTATTGCTGTATGATCTGTATTCAGATCATACATAATCTTCAAGTTTTATTCCTCTCACTTCTGCGATTGTCATTTCCATGTGATTGGAACATACATATCATGACACTTCTGTGTTTTCCGTGATGTTGATATTACTCTCCTGGGGGAAAATAAATGTCAAAACACAGCAAGAGCAGCAGCTAGACTTTCAGACTCAGGTACTTGGGGTTAGAGAAACACAGTGAATTCAGGAAGGATCTATGATGTAGAGGTCTGCAGTCTTTTAAAGATATTAAATTCTAGTACAGGGTAGGTGTTAGCTAGGATTTATATAGCCAATTTGATTTTCATGCTCCATTGTTGCTATCCCAGTAAATGAGTGATCTGTAACTCTAAACCAGTCCTATCCTGTGTCAATGAACTTGTTGAAATATTGTAACCCTCTATCAGGTGCTGACAAAGCTGCTTACCTGATGGGAATTAATTCCTCTGATATGCTTAAGGGTTTGGTGCATCCTAGAGTGAAAGTTGGAAATGAGTATGTCACCAAAGGCCAAAGTGTGGAACAGGTAAGGAGGTGTTTAAACTACATGAGCCAGCATGATACCAAACCTATATGCTGGGATGGAGAACCATCATTCTTTTGAGGGCTGCAGTTCCCTTGGGAGCAATCTGTCTGGGACTGCATGCTACTGGGGGGGGGCTGAAGCCAACAGTGGAGCTAAAAGTGGGTGGAGGACTCTTTTGAGCTTCGATTTATGATTTGTCTGACCCTTTCCAACAAATACATTGAGCTCAGATTGGCTCACAATAATAACAAAGTGTTAAAAATTAGCAAACAACACTTCCAGCATATGAAAAAACAACACAGCATATAAGTGAAGCAAAACAAACAAACTGAAAAAAAACAATGCAAGAACTACCGTATTTGGATACAAGCCATTGTATTTCTTCAGTACACATTTCCTTACCACATTTCCTCAGAAATAAATGCTACTGATTTCGATATGGGTTAGTTGGGCTTAATGTAGAAAATTTTAAAACCTCCCACGACGATATCATGAAACAGGGAAGTATGTAGCTGGATTTTCATAAAACAAAACTGTAAATCCAGCTTCAAAGATTCCAAAGCTATATTGAAATCCATCTTGCATGTAGCTGTGTGAGCATATTTATGCCGAGTTGAAACTGCAAAACCTATGGCTTTGGGCAATTATTAAAGCACACATTATCACACTGAAGTCCTTGCCATTGGACAAAGCAGTAAACTATGCAAGTGCAAAAGGAACTAGATAAATTGCCGTTGAGCCAATAAATATGTTGCTTGGTGATGAAAAAATATAATTCCCCCTGCAGATTTCATATGTAGCTATATTTATTCCTGTTTTATAAGTCAGGGACTAAGGGTGAAAAATGATTTGCTTTATCAAGGTTGCATAATTGGATCAAGTATCCCAGGTCCAACACCCTCTATACTGAGCTACACTGATCTATGTTTTAGGTCAATAATTGTATTCTAGGTTTAAACCCAGAATGTCAATAGATCTGAACCTGGCATGTAGGATGCTCAAAGGGAGTATCTTCCGCAGACATGATCACAAGGATTATTATGGTATTGTGTGATTGTTCTACCTCTCTTCTACAGGTTTCCTATTCTGTTGGGGCCTTATCCAAAGCAGTGTATGATAGGATGTTCAAGTGGCTCGTTACTCGCATCAATAGGACCTTGGACACCAAGTTGCCAAGACAGTTCTTCATCGGGGTGTTGGACATTGCTGGCTTTGAAATCTTTGATGTGAGTAATTGCCTCCCAAAATTTTCATGATAGCAACAAATTGATTTAAAGTAATTATGTTTAGGGAAGCTTTTAATGTTTGATGGATTACTGTATTTTAATATTTTGTTGGAAGCCGCCCAAAGTGGCTAGGGAAGCCCAGCCAGATGGGCAGGGTATAAATAATAAATTATTATTATAAATTATTATTATGTCTCTTAGCTAGAAGATAACGTTTGTTGAAAGAATCAGTTATCAATGTTGTATTAGCAGGAATGTCACCTCAGATGTTGCTAGACTCCCATCATTCCTGACCACTGGCCATGTTGGGTGGGGCTGATGGGGGTTGGAGTCCAACATCTGGAGGGTCACAGATTACACACCCATGTTGTACAGCTTGCTGAGTTTATCAGGAGCAATGAGAACTGGTCGATAATGTATAGGTATAGTTTATTTATCATTGATAAGAGCATGAGGAACATTACTCCTAAACCCATCTTGGAAAGCAAGGAACTGTAACTAGTATTACAATTTTGATCTTTTGGTGATGGTAAGAAATAAGCAGTAGTCAAGTTCTCATATGAAAGTTGCAAACTTATACTTGCAACAGGCTTACCAGTGTTCAGCTGACCTACTTTATTTGATCCACCCAAGGGCAGTAGAAATGCACATATAAATACACACACAAAGGCAGAGAAGATGCACATAAATGTTTAACCATAAAAATTAGAAGGGTCAATAAACTGTAGATAGTATTTATATAACTTAGCACCATCCACTGCAAGGAAAATGCCATAGTTTGCACAAATTTACTTCTCATGTTCTTAGCAAACAGCCCCGACATTTGCAGGACTTCAATTCTTCTGTTGCTGGAAAGTGGAAAATATTTGCCTTTTGACAGATACCTTTCATAATGAGTCTACTTCAGCCTCAATCCAGGAAATGTTGGTTAGGCTTTGACTTCAGTTCTGCTCAAAGTTTCATCTAACAGCAGTTCCAATGGGACTTAGGCACAAGGGGAACTTCTCTGAATCAGGGCTTCAAAAAATATGCCTGGCATATTATGCCTGGCACACTTTGGGAATTCAGTGGCGCTCTTCTATCCATATCTGAAAATTAAGCAGTTGTGTTCTGCACATTAGCACTGAAGTTAGTCTTAAAGGAATTCAGATCATATACTAACAGACTTTACATATATTTGCCTTCGTTCTTGTTCCTCTGTAAATTTAATTTTATGTCTTTCCTCCCCCTCATAGTTTAACAGCTTTGAGCAGCTTTGCATCAATTATACAAATGAAAAACTGCAACAGTTTTTCAATCACCACATGTTTGTCTTGGAGCAAGAAGAGTACAAAAAGGAAGGCATCGATTGGGTGTTCATTGACTTTGGATTGGATTTGCAAGCCTGCATTGATCTCATTGAAAAGGTATGGAAAACATCATTGGGGTTTCTGTTTGATAGCAGGAAAGGCTTACCATAAAGACAATGAGATTAGGGTGGATTTAGGGGAGCGCGACTGGTTTGGTCACACTGGGAGTGGAGACTTGGGGATGCCACAGGCGGCACCACAACTATGATGTAGAACAGAAGGCAAGATGCGAGGGGGGCGAATTTTGGCATTGCACAGGGCACCGCTGAAATTTGAGACCCCAAGGCCTACCAGTGATGTGATGTAGTGACTAGCGTGTCTGACTAGGCCCTGTTTATGTCTTTGTGAGCTGTAAAATTTACTGCTTGACCCATGGGCCAGTCGTTGCCTCTGGGCATAACCTACCTGACAAGCTAGTTTTGACCATAAAATTGAGGAAGATAACCATCTATTCCAGCTTGAGTTCTCTGAAGGAAAGAAGGAATACAAACATACTTTTGAAGATTTATTTCTTCTACTAGCACCATGACAAGCCTAAACAATGTTTCCACTGGAGATACAGATATACCTATATTTATTCATTTTTCCATAGTTGTCCATGCTCAGAGATGTAGCAGTCACATTCAAAACAAATAAATCTTCTTGACCAGTTTTTTCCATTAGTTAGGAGAGACCATTAAACAACTTTTGCCCCACCAAGGCAAATGTTGCCTAATAATGCAAGAACTGCAGAAAAAGACTGGGATGGGTGTCAGTAACTTGGCAAGCCACGAGACACAGCTGGTGGTATGTGTTCATTATGCTGTGTAGTAAGTTATATAGACCTCAGCTATTATAACGCTGGGTTGTTTTCTGACTGATTTATTGAGAAAAGTAAGTCAATCCAAGCCTTTTTGAAAACCAAAGCATCAATATTGTGTCAGCAATCTGTATAAAATATAATATTTTCACACTGTGTCGTCAAGTCTGATAGCAGTCTGAAAGAGTAATATGTTAACAGCTATTGGGAGCGGGGAGATTCTGCAGATGCAGTATTCATTCATGCTAACCAAAATGACATCCTTGGAAAACAAAACCCTAACATTTATCTCCCTATTGCCGTGCGTAGCCCTTGGGGATCTTGTCTATCCTAGAAGAAGAATGCATGTTCCCGAAGGCTACAGATATGACCTTCAAAGCCAAGCTGTACGACAATCATCTGGGCAAGTCACCTAATCTGCAGAAACCCAGGCCTGACAAAAAACGGAAATATGAAGCTCATTTTGAACTCCTGCACTATGCTGGAGCGGTAAGTTTTTGGCATTTGCAGATGGGGACGATGGCATTAACCTCAAAGCATGAAGCCCTGTTGGAATGAATGTGTCAGATGCTCCTGGTGGTTGCTCGCGAGTAACCAGGCAGGACTCCGACCTGTCTTTTACAGGTTTTATTGTGCAAACTATTTACAGTACAGATCTACAAGGTTCATGTCCATCTTAGTCACTTGCAGAATCAGGGAGTGGCCCCTTCCGGCTTCTCCCCTAACATAAGAACTTCGGCATCCCAAGCATCCTCCCCCCCTTTGCGTTTCACCCCTCTGCACAAGCTGGGCTACGGAAGAGGTGTGTGTCCCTCCTGGCCAGCCTAGCGTGGTGAGATGCTGGGGCTCTCAGCAGCATCCTCGAGCCCTTTCCTTGCTTGGCTGGCCCCTTCACTCTCTTCTCCACTGGCGGTGTGGCTTTTCCCACCGCTGGAAGAGGAACTGCTCCTCAGGAGTTTCGGAGGCTCTCTGTATCCCAACAGCCCCCCTGCCTCCCTCCCCTGTTCCGATGGCAGTCCCCTGACAGAATGGAGTCATGGGCCAAAGTGGTTGCAATGGCAAGAGAGGAATGCCACGCTGTGAGTTTTGAAAAGTTAACTTGGGGATGAAGTCAGTCGAGCATTCTGAGTCTGCTGGAAGCAGTTTGAAATTCTCTGCTCTTGAAATATATGCCTTAGAATTCAACCACAGTGTCTCTGTCTTCATCTCTAGGCATTATTATTATTATTGTCTCTACAAAGAAAGACTGAAACTCAGTGGTAGAGCACATGCTCTGTATGCACAAGGTTTAATTCATGTCATCCCCAGGTGGGGCTAGGAAAGACCCCAATCTGCAACCCTAGAATCAGGAGTGATGGGAGTTGCAATCCAAGAACATCTGTCACCATCTTAGCTAGGCGTGGTGTGGACAAATGAATTAGTAGTCTGGCTCAGTAGAAGGCAGTTTCCATGTTCCTAAGGGATAGGGGGAACTGAAAGACTGGGGGCATGCATGGAAGAAGGATGTGGTGATTATTTAGGAAAATGGAGATCTGATATTAAGATGAATATATTACTGGGAAGACTCCTGAAGTGACCCATAAAATCCCCCTTAATTACCTCCCTTCTTTCAGATGTCCTTTGGAAACTATATTGTGCAGACAGACTTTTGCAATATGAATATTCTCTTTTCAAACCAACCAGTAGTTACTGGTTTTTTTAATTATGTTTTTATGTATGCTTTTTGTTGATTTTATTCTTAGATGTTGCATGTCTCTTCCATTTTTTTTAATGAAAGTGCAGTTTATAAATACATAAATAGATAAACCAGAATTTTAAATGGTTATAAGGTAAAAGCAAAAGGCATTTAGATTAGATTAGATTTAGGTAAAAGCAAAAGACTTGATTATTTAATCTGTTTTATTGTTTTGCTTCCCTTTTGCCTGTCTATCATCTCTCTCTCTCTCTCTCTCTCTCTCTCTCTCTCTCTCTCTCTCACACACACACACACACACACACACACACACACACTAGGTGCCCTATAACATTATGGGTTGGCTTGAGAAAAACAAGGACCCACTCAATGAAACTGTAGTGAGCACTTTTCAAAAATCTTCCAACAAACTTCTGGCAAGCCTATTTGAAAATTATGTCAGTGCTGACAGCGGTAAGTCGAATGACCGTTTCCCTTTAATTCCTAGATCAAAGCTTAGCAGAAATGTTGAGTAAATATACCATCTCATGAGATCTGAAGGTCTTGCTGCCTTAAATGTACTTTTTTCCATAACATCTCTGTGGGATGACTATTTCTACTGATTCAAACAGTTGGTGCATCACTCAGCTTTCTTTCTGGCTCAGATGTTGGTACATCACTCAGCTGCAGCCATAGGCACTATGAGTTACATTTTGAAGGTGCACCCATAAAATGCTTTATAGGTACATCTTTAAATGCTAGACAGTTAGGAATGTCTTTAACACTCCTGATGAATACACCGTTGGTGGGAATGATACTGTGAAATGAGTGAAATAATCTCTGCAAAGAACAGATTGGAGTACTGTGGGAGGTCAGAACCACGAATCATGAAAATACTGGAAGTAGCAAATGTATATTACAGACATGCCCCCACTTATGTGAGACTGACACATGTGTGACCGCATATATGCATGGCGCTGGGAAATAAATAAATAGATATATTCAATCCAGGAAATGGCGGGAGAGTTAGAGAGTCCTTGTGGCTCATGAGGACACCCTCCCCAGAGCCCAAAGAGGTCTTCAGAGAGGGTGGAGGAAGCCCCAAAGAGACTGCAGGCACAGTAGGGCTTTGTTTAGGCTGCTGAGTCTACCCGCCTAGCAGTGGATGCATTTGGTAGCCACCTCTTTTTCTCATCCTCCAGCCTCTAGCCATCCCCAGAACTTCAACTCTAGTTGAAGAGAGTTGTTCTGAGAGGCAGAGAGAGCTGGAGGGCAGAAAAAATGGGCTTTTTTGAGAGTGCTCCCTACTTACATTATTTTCACTTATGCGTGCTGGCCCTGGAACATAAATGGGAAGACACCTGTACTACTCACAAATAGTATGCATTTTCCAATACATTGGAATTATATATCCTAGTTGGGGCCATGTCATTTTTCAGTCACGGCCTACTTGGGCATGAATGCTGCTGTGCTCATCAACATGGAGGCAAGGAGGCACCAATTAACCTCTTCCACTAGTCCCGAAATGTGAAAAGCGTGACCATTTGTAACAACAGACTCTTTCTGCCCACAGCTGTGCACATGAAGGCTTCTAGGCTTCTGACCATTGGGAGTCCATGTTTCGAGGAAACCTTCATACGTAGAGCTGTACGTGTGAAGGCTCCACTGCCACAGGTGGTTGTGCTCTTTGCGCAATGGCTAGAGGATGAGGCTGCTTGAAATGTCACCACTCCCACAAAGATGAACACAGGAGCCTGAATGCCTGCACACGGCTTCTGTAGGGGTTTGAGTGGGCACATAGTGAACTGGTTGTGTGAATCAGCAACCATGAGCGCAAGTTACTGCCTTGAGCACAAGTAATGTGTGATCTCATTGCACCTCAGCCCAGCAGTTGATGCTTATAATGGATGCTATGGAAGAATGGTTATATGGATTGGGGCAGTATCCAGCTAAACCCTCCAGAACATCTTTAAGGGGCACGTGGGCAGAAGAGAGGGAGAGGAAGCTCTGTTGTGTAACAAGATGGTTGCACTAGGGGAATTGTTTACTTGGCTGTCACCCAAAGTTTAAAAAGGAATAGTATGAATTGTTTCTTTGTAGATATAGGCTATGTTGTGTCACTTATTGGAATATAAAGCATTTTTAAAAATTGCGACACCCCACCTATCTTTTATAGTATAAAGTAAAGTAAATGCAGCTTCAGGAAATAAAAAATATTGTGCACCTGATAATTAAAGAAAATGGTGGTTCTCAATATCAAATCTCTTAGTTTTGAAGGTTCTGCTCCACTGAGCAGAAATAATTCTTAAATAACTGCATTTGCAACTGTCCTCTTTGGGCACCGCAGCAATTTGCAGGTTTCCATAAAATGATGTTAAATAAGTAGGAGTGTGACTCATTACAGAGATTTAGCTGTTATATCCTACAGCCACAATCAATTTACAGAATATTTATTAAGAACCTCATGTGAGTGGATGTAGTTGTCATGAATCATAAGAGGGTGTCTGGAAGACACAGCCAAATGCAGACTCCATAACGCAAATTGGAGAAGGAGCTGAGCCAAAATAACACAACCTGCCACTCGCACATCATTGCAGGTAACTAGGAATCATCATCTTGCCTGTGGGGATTTTTTTTTTTTTAAATCTGCCATGGAATGTTATTCCAGGGACTTGTTATGCAGTTTTCACACTATGTCTGCCAAAGGGCATGGCCGTCTTAGTAGCAACATGAAACACATGGCACAACTCAGGTCTTTTTTACACGGACGCTTACTATCAGGAGAAGCTTCCTAATGCCAAGAGCCATTCTGTATCAGAACCAACACATCTGGAGCTGGTGAGGTCTCCTTCCCTGGTGGCTTAAGCAGAGGCTGGATGGCCATCTGCCATGGATTCTCTAGTCGCATCCTGCATTGTTGGCCCTACATGGATCAGGGGACTGGACTAAATGACCCTCAAGATCTCATCCAGTTCTGAAATTTTATACTGTAGAAAATAGCAGGTGCCCTCTCAGATTCTTTGCAGGTCTTCAGAACTGACTCCAGTTAGTCCCATGTGCAGTATACCTTCAAAGCAGTGTCATACCACTTTAAACAGTCATGGTTCCCCCACCCCAAGACTCCTGGCAACTGTAGTTTGTTAAGGGTGCTGAGAGTTGTTAGGAGACCCTTATTCCCTCACACAGAACTGCAGTTCCCCAAGTGGTGTGACTGTCAATCCCTCTTCCTCTGGAACTCAGGGAACTCTAGGAATTGTAGCTCTGTGAGGGTGCATATGAGGCAACATCACACTAACCCGACAAGAGTGTTTGGAGCATGATCAGGGTATGCTTAGAGGATAGTTTACACCACAACAACATAACGTTCTTGATGTTATCTGTAACCCACACATGGTGTTAAGCACCAGAATATATGGCTGACCTATTAAAACTGCCTTTCCTTTCTAAAATGTTCCTTTGGACACTTTTCCTATGACATAATATTTAACTTAAAACCAAAGCAAATGCCTCATGGAAAGTCCCCTTATTAAAAGTTCCCCTTATTAATCAGTTTAGATGCCTATGTTGTCCCTGGCCTACTAAGCCATTGATAAGCATGCAAACTGTATTAAACATTTCTGCTTCATGTCAGTGTTGTAATCAGTATTTAACTTAGTTGCTCTGTCTTTTTTTTTTTAAGCACAAGCTGATAAAGGTGGAGAGAAGAAACGCAAGAAAGGTGCTTCCTTCCAAACAGTGTCATCCATGCATAAAGTAATTTTCCATTTCTTTATTAAATGTAACCTGTCTGTTGTCTTTGTCATTTTACACCAACGAGCTGGAATATTCCTAACAGAGAACCTAAAATATTAGAAACAGGCCTCCTTACAAGACCTGATTGTCTAGCTTCCTAAGTCATTAGCTGTACATTTTATTGATTTCCTCTTCTGATTCAGCACTTGAAACCAGATGGGTAAACTATACTCAGCTGTCATAGCTCATCAAGGATGGGGTTCAATACAACCACCAACGCTTCCAGGATGACTTCAAAAAATTACAGGGTTTTATTCCATAAACTTTAAGGGAATAGAGTATGCTTTAGCTTATGTCACAATGAACTTGTTAACCTTTAAGGGACCATAACAGACAAACAGTGGCAACTCTTGCATTGGCAACAATGGTCAAATATGGCTAGCCCTCTAGAAGTTGTATCCAAAACTTAGCAGGTGGTTGGCGTGGTTGGATTTGACAACATCAATTGCTTATTTTGGGATCGGGATCAGAAGCTACAGTTTGATACTGGCTCAGTTTAATAAACCATAGTTTAAACTCACCACAGTTTGGTCCTCTTGCAATGTAACTGCGAACTGTGCTTAATTTAAACCAAGACCTGGGTGCTTCCAGCCTCCTTCTCATGACTACATCAGATGGGAGGTGTGGAGAAGCAAGTGCATGAGCAAGTTCATTGACGTAGCTTAAACTATGGTTTAGTGTGACATCCAAACCAGAGCAGTGATAGTGAAGCAATTGTACTAAGAAGTAACCAGGCACCGGGAAGTTGTGGGCAACAAAGGAGCTACAGTAGTCTCATTGTATGTACCTGCCTACTGAATCACTTCTTTATCCCATGGAGATGGGTGGCTTGCTCATCAGATGCTTGTTGTTCTGAAATGTTCCATGATTTTGCTTGTTTTAATCTCCCTTTCCTCTCCAAAGGAAAATTTAAACAAACTGATGACTAATCTGAAGTCCACGTCTCCCCATTTTGTGCGCTGCATTATTCCCAATGAAACAAAAACTCCAGGTAAAGCAAATCCAGCATAATTTTATGTGATCTACATTTCAACGATGCACTTTTCTTAGGTCTCACAATACAAATCATTATCTCCGGTGACATGTGATGAAGCCACCCTGAAATAAAATCCTTACGTTGGGCTTTCTTTCCAGGTGCTATGGACCCTTTCCTTGTCCTTCACCAGCTTCGCTGTAACGGTGTCTTAGAGGGAATTCGTATTTGCCGCAAGGGATTTCCAAACAGGGTTATCTATGCTGACTTTAAACAAAGGTATCGTGAAGATCAGTGGCCTAGCCAAGTTCTTACTTCTTTTGATCCCCCCAAACCCAATAAGCAACCTTCCTTTTTAATCCTCTTAATTCACTTTTGGGTGGCTTTTTTTGTTTACTTGATTGTTCTTTCCGCAGCTGAGCTGAATCAAAAATTTTGCACATGCCGGAAATTTGGCAGATGTGTGGATTTTGGTCCAGAATTTTATTTATTTATAAAAGTATTTCTAGACCACCAGTTCATACTGGGTGTTATGGAAGTTCAGCTGCCTACCTACTTCAACTTCATTTGGGCCAGGGCTCTCTTTTGGCCCAGCGTCTGTTAGCATGCCTGCCTTAACACTGTAGCTTGTGAAATGCATGCTTTTGAACATGTACTTAGCATATGTCTCTTTGCCTCCAGCCACTCCACACCTGGGAGTTGGGCAGGAGGGTAAGAATTTAGACAGGATTGTGCTTGGTTGCCTCTATGTTGTAGTGTTTTTTTTTTTTTATTTAAAAAAATTTCAGTGTTGTCTACCCTAGTTTTGAGGAAACAATTAAATGTCAACATTTGTGCCATTCCTTTCGGGGAAAAGGAAGTTGTCGGTGTTTGCTGGTGTTGCTGCTGCTGCTACAGCTATATAAATCTTCATCTGGAGAAAGAGAAGCTCATTCTGTTTAGATTCCAGAAGGAGAAATGTTTTTAAGTTTGTTTTGTTAATAGCAATGCTATTACAGGGAATATTTACGACCCTTTGCTGCTTTAAATGCTTTCCATAACTTAAAGTTACAGGGCAAAGTTTGCTCAATTGGCTGTTGGGGTGAAGCCTTGTAAGTTCAAAGCTATCTCCTTTCACCCTAATCTTCCTTATTTTACATTATTATCTAGCTAATGTGTTGGGGGCTGCGTTAATGAGGGGGGGAAAACAAATGACTGCTCTGACTTCACTGGTTAATTGGGTGCATTAATTGAGGAAGGGCCATAGATCAGTGGCAGAGCATATATTTTGCATTCAGAAGGTCCCATGTTCAGTCCTTGGCATCTTCAGTTTAAAGAAGTAGGTAGCAACTGCTGAAAATGGCTTCAGCCTGAAACCCAGAGAAACCCCCATATAATGCGCAGAAAGGCAGAGAATCTGGTCTTCTGTCTGATATACCTCCTGTATTCCAGTGTAAAGAGAGGCATAGCAACCTGGTCCAGAGTTTCATCTGCTTACACATTTTTTAATCTATTCTTGCCAGGTACCGCATTCTGAATCCTTCTGCAATTCCCGAGGACAAGTTTGTAGACAGCAGGAAAGCTGCTGAAAAATTGCTCGCCTCTTTAGATATTGATAATAACCAGTACAAGTTTGGACACACAAAGGTAAAGCAATGGTTTCAATCTTTCCTTGAGCTCAGTTAATCATCTGAGAGAATCTGATGCTATAACACTGTTGAAGGCCTGGATGGATGGATGGATGGATGTTCACTAGAAGATCAATGTACGCTATTCTGTCCCATCTATGAAAGAGTGGTGGTTGTGGGGCAGTAGGAAATGACATCTGGTTAAAGAGAGGCTATCATCCTATAGCCACTTACCCAAGGATAATAACAAAAAACACCTCATTGGGGCTTACTTCTGAGTAGCCTTGTATAGAATTGTGCATTGATTAATCACAAGTGTTAATCAATCCCATACACGTTACATCAGTTAAAATAACAACATGACAATCAAAAGTGGAAATCAAGAAGGTAGCTCCCCACAGATGATGTGTGGCACCTAACACATTACACCAAACTGAGGTTCCTTGTGTGTCATTATTCAGCTTTAAGCACCCAGGCCAAGGGGGAAGCCAAACAAATATTCCACAAGAACAAAGATTAATGCAGGTAGAAAGCTAAATACAGAGACCCCCCATGGTAATAACTAGGCAGGGTGGATCCACCCATTAAAACAACTAGATAGGTTGGGCCTTCCTAGTCCCCCTGAATTCAACCCCTGAACAATAAAATTGCAGCACGACTAACAGTCAGCACAGCCAGGCATGGCATATAAAAACAACCTTAAAAGCAAAAAAATTACCTGGCAAATGGCCCCTGGAGTAAAACAGTCTTCACTAAGTGACAGAAAACAGCAAGAGAATGGCACCACTGCCATTTTCTCACTTCCGTTCTGTGTTGTATTTATGTAAACCACTTAAGATTTCTATTGAAATATAGAACAGTATACAAGTTAGTTAAGGAAATGAAAGAGAGGGGCAAATGGAATCTCGTTTGACAAGTGTTCCAAAGCACACAAAGTAGGCTATCTAGTCCATGGGTAGGCAAACTAAGGCCCGGGGGCCGGATCCAGCCCAATCACCTTCTAAATCCGGCCGATGGACGGTCCGGTTATCAGCGTGTTTTTATATGAGTAGAATGTGTCCTTTTATTTAGAAGGCATCTCTGGGTTATTTGTGGGGCATAGGAATTCGTTCTTCTTCTTCTTCTAAATATAGTCTGGCCCCCCACAAGGTCTGAGGGACAGTGGACCGGCCCCCCTGCTGAAATAGTTTGCTGACCCCTGATCTAGTCACCATTGCTGCTTTCACATGCAGCTTGTTTGGCTTATTGGAATTAGTGTGCAGAGAACCTGGGCTCATGCAAGGAAGTTGGTTTGCAAAAGTAACCCCATTTCAATAAACCTTAGCCAGAAATGCTGTTGATTTTCGTGGGCAAAGTATTCTGGTTCTGTGCTAGACATTATACGGTTGGCCGTAGTGAGAAATGGGATGTTGCACCAGCTGGGCCTCTGGCCTGATCCAGTCAGTGATGGACTTTGGGCTCTCAAATTTCATCAGTGCCCTGCGCAACACTAAAATTTGGTGCCCCCTGCCTCTCACATTCTGTTCTATGGCAATGTTGTGTGACCCCCTGCAGTCCAACACCGGGGCCCCCCCTGAAGCTCACACCAATTATGCTACCCTAAAACTGCCTCTGGATCCAGCAGGTCTCTTCTCATGCTAAAATCTCTAGCACTGTTCAGAAAACCGATGTGAAGAAGTAAGGGAAACACCTTTTCTAGCACTTCAGATTAAATGGCCAGAATAAATGCACCCCATAATGTTGAATGTCAGATCAAATTATAAAACAGGAAGGAAGTAGATCAGAAATACCACCAATTGTCTACCACCCAAGGATATATAATTCACAGCTCTGATTGTACCTGTAATGCTTCAATTGCCATTCATCATTACTAATAGCTAGATTTTTCAAAGGAATTGATGTAAAAGAATAGAACTAATTGCCACTTTTATGAATAATATTTTTTTTAAAACCTTGCCAAGGGTAGAGACATACCCCCTAGCTTTCAAACATCCAGATATGTCTTTATTCTTTTTCTTTGACTTTTTAAAAATATGGCATGCTTTTTGCAAGGTAGAGTATCGTAATATAGGGTAGATATAGGATAGTCTGTCGCTATTTTCAATTGCATACTGGTAAGTTCAGGATGCACAATTATAGTTGATTGGGAAGCCTTGTGCAACAAATCTGCCCCCCCACCAACCCCAGACTTTTTGCAATAAGGAAAAGGGTGGTATAATTCACTGGAAAGAGTGGGGAACAGTTTGATGCAACCTCATCTGATCTCCTGGTAAACTAAACAGAATGGATGCTCATTAAATAGCCACTGCTGTCCAATCTCTCTGCAAACACATCGGGATGAGCGTTCAGTAAACAGGTCATCTGGAAGCATTTACAAAATAACATGCATAACATGCATAGAGCTGTAGAAATTTATGATGCAATCCTATATATATATATATATATATATATATATATATAATTTTATTAGTTTTTTTAACATATCATTTTCAACAGTAATTAAACATACTTTTACATCTTATTCAATTTTTTGACTTCCATCAATCCTGTCTGAAAATTTTCCAATCTAATCTCTCAGTATGCATTTCTTATCTTCCCTATTACATTTCAAACTCATAACCAATATCTCTATCTTTTTCTACTTTGTAACACTTTGTATATTTCTCCTTACAAAACTTCTTGTAGTCCTACTAGCGTAATTTGTTGATTACAGTTGCTCTTCAAATAATTCATATACTTCTTCCAAGCTTCTGTAAATCTCTGGTCCCGCAGGTTTCGAATCCTGCCTGTCATTTTGTCCAATTCTGCAGAAATTTATGATGCAGTCCTAGCCATGTCTGTGCTACATATTACCAGGAAAGGGGTCAGTGGGTAGGATTGGAGCCTTGAGCTGTTTTGAGGAGCAACAGAGCACACAGGACACTACAATGTCACTTCACCTTCCCTTGGTACAAGATTTTACGCTATTCAAAACCAGCCAGTATAAGTTGTGTCATTAGTAATCTGACCCAGTTAGCACTGTTGTTTTGGAAATCTAAGATTGAATTGGACCATATTACATGTCAAGGGTTTGTTGAATTTCTAAGTCTTAGATTCATGGTATACATTTCAGGTCTTCTTTAAGGCTGGTCTTCTGGGACATTTGGAAGAAATGAGGGATGAGAGATTAGCCAAGATTTTAACACTAATTCAAGCAAGAGCCCGAGGCAGATTGATGCGCATTGAGTTCCAGAAGATCGTAGAGCGAAGGTATTTATGTATGGACTGCTTATGTCATAGTAAAGGTAAAGGTAAAGGACCCCTGAAAGTTACCTTAAGTCCAGTCGCAAACAACTCTGGGGTTGCGGCGCTCATCTCGCTTTACTGGCCGAGGGAGCCAGCGTTTGTCTGCAGACAGTTTTTCCAGGTCATATGCCCAGCATGAGCAGTGCACGGAAACGCCATTTGCCTACCCACCTATTTATCTATTTGCACTTTGACGTGCTTTCAAACTGCTAGGGAGCTTACCCTGTCCTTAAAAATTTGGACTGGACAGTTTTCAAGAATGCTACAATGATTACCCGTCCAAATTTGGGCCCCGTAAAGTATCTGCGCCAAAGATTTGGCTTGAAAAACCTCTAGAGCTGCTGGGATGTATTTGCTGCCCCGTCATGGGGCTCACCCCATAGATAATTTTGCCCCATTTCAGAGATCCTATGAAGCATGCTCAGGGGAGTGTCTTATTCTTCTTAAACCAGGGATGCCCTGCTTGTGATCCAGTGGAATATCCGAGCTTTTATGGTTGTGAAAAACTGGCCTTGGATGAAGCTTTTCTTTAAGATCAAGCCTCTGCTGAAATCTGCAGAAACTGAAAAAGAAATGGCCAATATGAAAGAAGAGTTCCTGAAATTAAAGGAGGCCCTGGAAAAATCTGAAGCCAGGAGGAAGGAGCTTGAAGAAAAGCAGGTATCTCTGGTGCAGGAGAAGAATGACCTGCTTCTTCAGCTGCAGGCAGTAAGTGGACCAAAATTATTTTGTTGTTGGAATATTGACCCATTTGGGGGCAGCAGCATCAGACGCAAAGTGCGAGCCTCACTTTAAAGCTGGAAAATCACACTTTTAAAAAAAACACGTGGTGAATACAATTCATATAACATTTTATTGCATGGCACTTGCTATGAATCATAAAGTGGAATGAATAGTGAAACAGAGCTCTAAAGACGTAGCCCGAGCAATTATTAATATGCTGCTCCGTATCTAGTAAAAATAGAATCTACAGGCATTCGTGTTGTTTACAAGAACTGGCTCTGACTGAGAACAGATTGCCAAACATTTCCACATTTGGGGGGGGGGGGGAAGGATGGAACAGAGAAGATAACTCGAACCTTTCCAGATATGCCAAGGGGAAAACAAACACTTTCTGTTTGATTTGACTCGTTTGCTGGTGGCCCGGGGCTGTGGTCCGCATGCTGTAGGTGATGATGGCTCCAGTAGAAATCAAGGGAGGGGTTGCCAACAGGTAACCTCAGACTGAATCTTAAATAGAAATATTACACAGTTTGGGAGGCTAGCTCTGCCCCAGGTTATTACAAATTTATTTGGGATGCCTTGTAGCAAGGAATTCATAGATGAAATGAATAAATAATGGAAGCTTTTTTAGTTCAAAGGGGCTTGCCTGTTTTCAAGACTGTGGTTCTGCTAGGTCTTCTGGGCTGGAGGCATCAGAGTCATAGGATGACAAAAGGTCCTCTTCAGGCGTTGACAGAATGGACTCCTCCTCTGCTGGAACTTCCAGCGCAGTGGGGACTTCCAAGGTTGGCTCAGAGGGCAATTTCCCTCCAAGGACCCTTTGTTCCCCGATGAGGTGTCAAATCAGAAGGTTATAACAAGTAGGCAGAATATCACCCCATAATGTTAACAGCAGCAGCACCAGCAGCACCATACTGAATTCACTAGGGATAAATAAAGTGTTGCACGCCTCCCAAATCACCAAGCAATGCAAGATTCCAGGGGTTCTGTGCAATGAGGGACAGTGGAGACTGTGGTGTTTTTATGATATATGGTTTCTTTACACAGTATTAACTTACAACATCAACACCCCATAGCTTTCCCTCTAGCCACAGCCTTGAATTTAAGCAGACTTCTGCTTGCTTCTAGTCCAGCTCACACACAACTCTGACTCTTGTGCTTCTCACTACCAACCAGGTGAGGGAGGGCCCCCCACTCATTTGCCCTCTGGCACAAAGCCACTTTCTTATGGTAACCCCCCCCCCCATATTTATGGGCCCTTGGCTGCTTCATTCAACAGTGGGATCCTCCATTATATGTTAATCCTTGCTGGATCCAGGAATAGAATTGAACATTGCTTTTTAAATACCAAGGAATTAATGCAAGATAGCAAAGGAGCCCCAAATGGATAGAATAAACCTGCACTAGGCACTTTGAAGAGCTCAGGCCAGCTTCCAGATTAAGGATGGCTCCAGCAACATAATCAGGATTCCCAAATATTAACCTTTAAAAAAACAGTTTGAGTTCCTTCAGATGAACTCTTTATCAATTTCACTTTTTCTGCCCAAAGTGGAGGAGAAGAATTGACATGGAACGCCTTTATCATTCAGCCTGGACACTGAGATCCAGCTCCGAGGGCCTTCTGGCAGTTCCCTCACTGCAAGGAGTGAAGAGGGCCCTTCTTGGTGGTGGTGCCCACCCTGTGGAATGCTCTCCCGTCAGTCGTCAAAGAGATAAGCAATTACACAACTTTCCATAGACATCTGAAGGAAGCCCTGTATCAGGAATCTTTCAATGTGTGATGTTCTGTTGTGTTGTATACCTTGTTGGAAGACACCCAGAGTGACTTGGGCAACCCAGCTAGAAAGGTGGGGGTACAAAAAATAAATTATTATCATTGTTAGAGTTGGTTCACACATTCTACCAGGAGGCATCTTTTTAGAGTAATCAAGTGAGGCAAAATCAAGAGATCACATACATGTGTGAACCAGCCCCAAGTCTAGGTGCAAAGTTAAATTGACCAAGCTTCTTCACGGCACTCCAAATAAAAAAACCCCTAAAACTTAACAAAACAATGGGGCATTGCAGTAGAAGTAGACTTGCTGTAATAAAAACCATAATTTTATTTTATTTTATTTTATTTAAAAAAGTTGTTTTATATATATATATATATATATATATATATATATATATATATATTTCCCCAGTGACACACACACACACACACACACACACACACACACACACTGGGGAATTATGCCACTTCTCATTGGTGGTGTAACAGGGATTGCTCCATAGGTCCTTGTGACAGACAGACAACCATCACATTACGATCTCAATATTTAGGAAAGAATAGCAGTTTTTCTAGTGACTAAATATTGCAATAGGAATGTTGAGAGAATGTGATTTTCTAGCAATAGATGTGCTGTCTTGAAACATAAACTCCAATTCTCCTGCAAAGAAACAAGCAATATGCTTGCATTTATTATATTCAGAGCAATCATACTGGAAAGTCTCTTTAAAACTGTGGACATGTGCAATGAGAGATGTACAAACTACCTAGCAAAACCATGATAATATGTAGAAATTAACAAAGGGGCACTGTCAATCTTTTGATCTACAAAATCTGGAAGAAAGAAGTTCTTTTTATATTACAGTATTGCAGTTCATAATTAAATATTCAGAAAGTTTCTTCCTCACAGTAAAAGACAGGCATTAGGAACATTCATATTCAGTTGTGAGATGTCAGCGTGTATATTTTGTATTAAATTTAGACTTCTCAGGAATCTTTATCTCTAAATAAGTACATTAAAAGAAAATAACAATTGCTTTCCATAATTTGTTCAACTAAGGACTGGCGTCTTAGTTTTGCTTTGCATTAGTTTACATTACTTTACATGCAAATAAAAGAACTGCAATACTTAAAAGGCTTGGATATAAATACTATGTTTTTCATCTATATTCCAATCAGTTGAGTTGGTTACCATGGCAAACCACTGAAGCAAGGAGATGTTAAACTTGGAGATGTGGCATTTTACATGCAATTTGCAAGCATGCTGTTGAACTAGCAAAGAAATTATTTGAAAAGATGACAAAGAATGCAGATTTTAAATTTTTGAGAGCTTACAGCACATTCCAAAATGAGTGACTGTTTATTATTAGTACACAGAATGTTTTTATACATAAAGTGGTTTGTAATCACTATCGTGTTCATCTTCCTAAATCCCTTGTGGGACACTATTATTTTCATTCAGAAGACGAGGAACTGTGGCTGAAACAGTCAATTGAATTGTTTCCAGATGGCAGCTTATTGTGCAATCAGTGTTACTCATGTACACAAGTCTTTTTCAACATCTACATGACAATGTTGTCATCAGAATGCCATACCTTAATAATAATCAGTTTTCCCCTTACCATAGAAAATCCATAAAAATAACCCATTATACTATATCTGCAGTCACTACTAGGGTGTAAACTCGATTGCGTGTTTTCTGTGGTGAGAAGTTTGTCACATGGGTGGTGACATTTCAGTCAGTGGTATCTAATTCAAACCCCTACTGCCATTTGCTCCTCACCTGTGAACCACCTAGCTATGTTGTTTGCGACAACCCACACAGTGTGCTTATTTCCCTTAATTGCTGCATGCTGAAGGCACTTTCAGATTTCAGCAACCAAGCCAGAAGGAGCTCTTCTCTCAAGATCTCCACACAGAACGTGTGGGATTCTGTTGGAGACTGTAATTGCAATGGTCTTAAAAATATTATTATTTAAATAATGCAGAGGTCTTACATGAGATTATTCTAGTGTCAGTCTTAGCTAAAGACTTAGCTAAAAATAAAATAGCCCTCTAGCACAAAACATCAATATTAACAAAACAAATGGAAATGGGTATTGCCCCTCCACCCAAAGGGCAACTTTCCGTTTTGCCTGTTGTGAAACATGATGACTAAGGCTGATAACATTTGCTCTTGTAGACTTCATTCTTCATGTAGAAATATTTGCATGTGTAGGCAGTACAGAAGGGTGGGGGAAGTAGTGGAGTTCAAGGGAAGAGCGACTGAGCAAACAAACATCCAGATAAATTCCATCCAGCTCTGCCCACTGGTCTGGATGGCAAGTGGCGAAATAGCAGTGAATAGCTATGACTGAAAAATGGGAATGTGTGGAAGCAAATGCACACAGTGGAAAATTAGATCCAAATGGCCGATTGGCAAGCCAAGGCCCCCATCTGGAAGTATCCCCTATGTCACTAATATCATTCATTCATGTCTATGCATACGCAGAGATGTTGTTGTTGTTATTTAAAGCAGGCCTTTTTCACTAGGAGGAACGTCTTGCCTCAGAAGGCTTGCTTAGCAATCCTTTGGCTTTTTCAGGGGGTTAGGGAAAACAATTATGTTCAGAAGAACCTTTCTGTCACCTGCAGGGTTGATAGAGGAAGTGATACGGGTCCTATCTTGGCCCAACATCTCTTATTTTGCTGCATAGCAGAGATGGGGAATCTGTGGCTCTTCACAAGTTATGGGACTGTAGCTCCCATCATGCCAGACCATTGGACATGCTGACTGGGTCTGATGGGAACTGTAGCCTAGCAACATCTGGATTGCCACAGATGTAACCCCACTGTATAGTCTCTGCTCAGCTGTTACATTATCTTCCAATGGTGTGTTTCATTGTTAACCTTTACTAAGAGGACTCATAATGGGTACATTTGGTGAGGTGGCAGAAATGAATACCAGTCATTCAGGCCTGTTATCTATCTACAGGGTTATGAAGGCACCCAGAATTAATGCGCTGAACAATTAATGTCAATTATCTCCCAAGCTGTTCATATCTGATCGTTCATCTGTGCGTGAGATTGATATATCAATCTCGCAATGTGTGAGAGCACACGCATCCTCAAGAGAGAGAAAATTCGTGGATCAGAAGCCGTTTGCTACATAAGTTTTCTCCCTAGCCACTAATGCAGTCCCTTGCAAATCCTGACAGGAGCAAGACACCCTGGCAGATGCAGAAGAACGATGTGACTTGCTGATTAAATCTAAGATCCAGCTGGAGGCCAAAGTCAAAGAGCTGACTGAGCGGGTGGAAGATGAAGAGGAGATGAACTCTGAGCTGACATCCAAGAAGAGGAAGCTGGAAGATGAATGCTCTGAGCTGAAGAAGGACATTGATGACCTTGAAATAACACTGGCAAAAGTGGAGAAAGAAAAACATGCCACTGAAAATAAGGTAGCTTTAATACTTGGCCATTAAAAACAAAAATCCACTCTCAGAGCTGCTTTATGGCAGTAATCAATATGCAAGTCTATAATTTTCCAAAACTCTTGGTTGGGAAAAGATCTGGCTACATGCTCCGTCTGTACTATGTCAGACTAATAAGAAGACAGCTATGTTTTTGCCCATGGGGACAGTCTAGGGATTCTTTGAAAGTACCTATAAAGACTGATGCAATATTATGAACCAGGAGATCTGTGATCTTGCTATCAGCAACCTTCGGCTGGTCTATTTAATATATTGTATTAACTTTTGTCATGTCTCATCACAATGGAACTCAAGACAGTGATACATGTGGTTCCCAGGGATCTCCTTTTAGGCAGTAACTAGACCCGGACCTGCTTACCTTTTCCAAGGTGGCTACATGTCCTTAGACTAGAAGTTGTTGTGCAAGTTGTTTCTGGCCCTATAATATTTGGTGCCCGGATTTTCATGTTTTAAGAACTGGGAATGAACAGGACCACATTAGACACCTGATGTAATTGCTCCTTCCTTTCTTTGCTTCCCCACCTGATATCTGGAATTCAGTTCACATGACCAGATAATCCAAGAAAGCCGAGCATCACTTGCATGGATGAAAAATTATTTGTGGGAATCAGTCCCACATTCATCCCACATACATAGCACTCGGTCCAACTCAACCACAGCGCAGCAGGGCAAGAGAAACCTTTGAGCTAAGATTTCTTTGCAAAAACCTCTGGCCTGTGGTCTTCCTTCCCAACAGGTTAAGGAATCTGACAGAAGAAATGGCAGCACTTGGATGAGACCATCAGCAAGCTGACGAAGGAAAAGAAGTCATTGCAGGAAGCTCACCAGCAGGCCTTGGATGACCTGCAAGCAGAAGAGGACAAAGTCAACCACACTGGAGCAAGGCTAAAGTGAAACTGGAGCAGCAAGTGGATGCATGTATGTTTGCGCTGCTGCTTCGTTTCACCTAGGTTGTTTTGGGGCCGGGGTTGGACATTCAAGTGGCTTTGGTTGTCCTGTTATAAATGTTGGACCTATTATTGAAATAGGGTGACAATGAAAGTCGATCTGTTGTTCAGTTTCTGAATGGAAGGTAAATGCAAGGAATTCATTTGCATTCCAAGTTCACATAGAGATGCAGTGGCGGGCCCATAGCTCAGTGGTAGAGCACACCAAAGTATAATCCCTGGGTCTCCAGGTAGAGCTGGAAAAAGACTCCTGTCTGGAGCTCTGGAGAGTCACCAACAGACTCAGTCAGTGTTGACAGTTTGGAGCTAGATAGATCAGTGGTCTGACTCAGTATGGTATCTTCATATGTTCCTATGAATGGTGGGGAGCGGGAGGTAGTTCACACCCCTTTCTAGTATTTTGTTCAGCATGTTCCTTATGGGGGAAAGAGGCAGTCTGCATTACATCAATAAAAAGAGGATTTGGTTCTCTAAACTTCAGTCCGGCTTACAATACCTGACAGATGCTGCCAAATGTCTGTGGTCTGCCAAGAACTTGAAAAGTTGAGTGGCTATTTTCTCCTGTATCTGTCCCTTTTCATTTCTGTAGCTCGAGGGCTCTTCTTGAACAAGAAAGAAAGTGAGGATGGATCTGGAAAGAGCCAAACGCAAACTGGAGGGTGACTTGAAGCTGACTCAAGAAGTGTCATGGAACTTGGAAATGATAAGCTGCAGTTGGACTAAAAGTTAAAGAAGTAAGGTGTGTTAGAGTTCTTAGTGGCAGAGGCTGTTTTTATACTTCGTAAAACTTTCACTGCCCTATGATGCTTTTACTCTGTGTAAAACGCAAGAAGTGAGTAACATAATATCTGCAGTGCCACTATATTTTCAGTCCCTGGAAAGCAGCCAAAAACAGAGGTTTGTTTAGTCCCTGGTGAGTTGCCATATGGACTGGTGGGTGTGTTTAGCTTGATGGGTCAAAGGTCTTTTTAGGCGCTGCTATACACACACACACACACACACACACACACACACCACACAACTAGAAATAGGTTGCCTAGTGAGACAGTTCCATAAAACCAGTAACAGCCATAGAAATAGAAAGGTAGACCTAATTTTGCTAAACCTCCAAGTGGAGGCAGCCAGCCAGATTCAACTCCCATGCTCCAGTCTGCTTTTTCTTCCTTCCATCTGGTATGGTTTTGTGCTCCACGTTATAGCAGATTGGGCTTTGGGCAAGCAGATCAAAATGTAGTTCAACTTAACCAGCTTTTCCCTCCAACAGAGTTCTAACAGGTACCAGATCTCTGTGTTACTTAGATTGCAAATTTGCAGCAGCAATTTCCTAAGGACCTTGAAACATAGCAGGAATGAGTCATATTCAGGCATTATAGCTCCTGTATGGAGCATCAGATGGGTAAGGAACTGGAGCCAAGCTAGTAGCCAGTCCCCCTTCGTAGTGTTGCTGACTGCTAGCCCTGTCCTTGGCATCCTTGCATTCAGCGTGAATGATACAGTGGTGGCTGGTCTTCCATCCAACCTGGAATTCTGTGTGTTTGGGGAGAAGACTTCACATGTGCTGCTGTACACACGGACACATCCCCCTGCAAGGAGGGTGGGGGGAGTTAGTCATGCATGCATGTGTAGAGCAACACCTGAATAGGGGCTATATAATTGTTTGTTTTGAGATGCATTTCTGCCTTAAAAAGAACCAACTATTACTCGCATTGTTACTCAACCCCAATCTATTGCAGTTAATAGGAAAGAATTTGAAATCATCAGATGAGCTCCAAGATTGAGGGATGAGCAGGCCATAGTGATGCAGCTCCAAAAGAAAGATAAAAGAAGCTTCAGGTAATTATTCCTGCTCAGTTTTCTCTCAGTACTGGATATATGGACATTGTATTGTAAGAAAGCCTTGGGCTTGTGCAGGTTGTAATCCCATTTGATCTGAAATTCCAGGTTATTAGAAATCTTTTAAGGTCACAAGAAAGCTCTACTGGAATCAGATTAGACATCACCCTCTCTCTCTTAATATAATCTTTATTAATTTAAAATAAATACATTATGAAAAACAGACGTACATACAAGTAAAAAAATACAATAAACAACAAATAACAGAAAAATCAAAACAAACCACCACACTATAAGATATAAGAAGATCAATAGGTAAAATTATCATCATGATATACTCCTGGTATGAAACACAATTATAAAATTTATAGAAAGAAATTTAAAAACTGACTTCCAATTAATTTCAACTGTACTTTGTGTCTATCCATTACAGTGGTGCCTCGCAAGACGAAATTAATCCGTCCGCGAGTCTCTTCGTCTTGCGGTTTTTCGTCTTGCGAAGCACGGCTATTAGCGGCTTAGCGGCTTAGCGGCTATTAATGGGCTTAGCGGCTATTAACGGCCCTCAGCTGGCGTTAGCGGCTTTAAGAAAAAGGAAACAAACTCGCAGAACTCTCAAGACGTTTCGTCTTGCGAAGCAAGCCTATAGGAAATTCGTCTTGCGAAGCACCTCAAAAAACTCTTTCGTCTTGCGAGTTTTTCGTCCTTGCGAGGCATTCGTCTTGCGGGCACCACTGTACTTTATACCGCACAGTTACATATTCTTGTATAATTCTTTTTACCTCCCTACAAACTTAATTTAATACAATACAGGGATCAGTCTAATTCATGCCTGATAGACATCCATCTCGTTCATCACCCTGTTTTCCAGAGTGGACAGCTCTGGAAATCTTGAAAAACAGGGATGAAGGTGACAGCTTCTCCATTGTTTGGCCTCCTCCTTCCCAGCAATTGGTATTCCATGGCCTTACTCCACCAAACCTGTAGCTATCACTTACTACCAGAACCAACAGCCATGACTATAGATGGTGGAGAAAAATAAATTAACTGTGCATTGGAAGGTGGACCTACCTAATTTGCATATTCCCAAACAGTAATGAAGAACAGAAACAATAGCCAGCATTCAAAATTCACACTCTCTGAATTTGTGATGCAATTATTCAACCAAACAGTGTTTACCAAAATGTCTATTAGGTGAAAGTGTGCATAAACATGAATATATTAGTGAAAGTTAAAACACAACAATTCATTCTATTAGGGAATCATTGCAAAAGATGTAGATCAGTCAAAACTGCATACAAGAATGGGTTAATTCAGAGAAATTCACAACAATATTCTGATGAATTTTCATGAGGATTAAAAAAAAAAACTAGCAAATTTTATAACTTTGTTATGTGTCATGTGAAGAGCTATGTTGGTAAAGAATGAGGAGGAGGAGAAAGATTTTTGGGCATATGATTTGGCTTTTTCTATTTTTTGATTTCTTAACCTATTTTAAAGGCTCATAAAAGGTTAAAAAATTAAAACTAAATCTACACAAACACAGAAAATAAAATTTATAAGATGCTCTTTGGAGAGCAGTTGGAGGCTATGTGTGTGCATTGTTTATGCATATTGGCTCTTTTCAGACCTTCAAGTGAACATGTAGAGCAAGGATGTGGAGCCTAGGTTCTTCCAGATATTGTTAGATTCCAACTTCTATTAGCCCCAGTTCATAGTCAGGCTTGGGGATGAGGGGAGTTGTGGCCAAACGTTATCTGGAGGTCCTCAGATTTCCCATCCCTAGTCTATAGGCCGAGAGTGGGCACGAGTCTGCTTTCTCCCCTTCTCAGCGTGTGTTCACCAGCACAGGGCTTGTTGTGCTGGATTTTGAGGGTGAAACCATTGATCACAAGCAGGCTTAAATGAAATTCCATTCTTGAGCAACAAGAATCCTAATAACAGAAGGTGCCTTGTTGAGTTGGTGTTGGGAAAGATAATAATGGACACATTTGAAGGAAAGATATTTAAGAAGAAAGGGATGGAAGCAGGGAAATTGGCTTCTAGGCAGTATATCCTTAATGGAAAGGGGACATTCGCCTCTGACTGTATTGTCCTTGGTTACAAGCACCGAGGGGCTTGCGAGTCAGTAAAAGAACAGAATACACCTCAGAGGAAGACAATGTGAATTGCAGCGATGTGTTAACA